GAAAAAATTTCGTATGTCTTCGAGATCAGTTGAGGCGAGTAGAGGTTAGCTGGACTCATCAAAGCAAAATATCATGCTGGTCGATTCTGGTGATGCAACAATCTTGGAAGCAGTAAAAGGGGTGATGATGCAGTCGTGAGGTCATACCGGGCGTTGCCTGGGCAAAGTGAAGGAGAGATCAACGCATCGTGATTTTGTTGTGACAAAGAATCGATACCAGGTCCTCAAAGGCACATGGAGCTGCCAACATCTCGTGAATTATGTCGCCATCAACATTGATAACGATACGCACCGCATACTATGCGATTCTCAGGCCATTGGAATTTTGACAATGGAGCCTGCAGATATCCCTTCATCAACTGTTTCGTTGGTGCTGGAAAACTTCATATGCCACAATACCTTGATATGCAATTATCCGAAGAAAGTCGCTTTCTTGCCGTCTATTTCACGTAATGTTCGTTTGTTGAGTAACCGAAACTCGGTCGAATGACGCTCGAACCGAGATGGCGTACGGCTCTGTGAAATGGTTGCTGGCATTAACTGTGTAGACTTGAAGGCAAAGTGTAAACAAGCGGAAACGGGGCAGCACTGGCAGGCCAGCATGAAGAACACTGCATTTTGGGCTTTTCACCACAATAATAAAGAATATATAACCAAACGAAATATCCTTCAGGCGACGGCGTCCAACGCCTCGTGAACCCCGAGTCTCGCTCCTGCAGCGCCGGCGTATGTGAACCTTTAAACACACATTCATGGTTGATGCTGTACAGCACTGTGAGGCTGTGTATCCCGTCCCCTGCCGGATGGTCTACATGCTGAGCATGTCCGGCCACGGCGTGTTGTCTTCAGTAGGCTTTCGCCAGGCCGAGACAAGGTAGGCTTCAAAATATTTACCCATGGAAAAGCACCGCTCACAAACGCTTGTTCGGCTGGTCAGAAATATAAAATGGAGACAGTGGGACATTGTTGCTTTTGCTGTACGATAGTCTGTTGGTGGTATAGCTTGTAGACACTTCAGCCGCGGGATAGGTGGAAGAGCCACGACGAAGTAAGAAAGCGAAAGAAAAAGAGGTCGTTGCGGGAAAATACAGCATTTTGTACACCGCATGGCGTGTGAGTCTGGTCTCGTTCTTGGCATGCAAGTGGTCCACGCAGTGCCGGGTGCAGGGTTGCGTATTGTTGACCTTCGGGGTTCAGCTGCTGCACTGCCTTGTGTGTGTGCTGGCAAAGGAGCTTTGCTCTCGTTCTGGTTTGCTGTGGCCTCTTGTTGCTGCATGAGTCGTGTGCAACCGAAAGCAGGAGAAGGAGCCCAAACTCCACTGTTCGGAGCCAAATGGACCGAATAAAACTTAAGATCATTTGCCGTATAACAAACATTTGGGTCTGAGCCAAACGATGACCGCCTCTTTGGGCCAAAGGATACAGCGAATGTGTCGTTTATACTGTATCGTGAAGTCTTGGGTTTTTCTTTGGCCGATCCTGCAGGACGCAGCGTAACACTTGCAGACCTTGGCGCCTTTGTGCTTGTACCACGAGAAGAGGACTATAGCCAAGTGTTCGTTTGCCGCCCAGCCAAAAATATGTCGTAAATGCCTTACAAAAGACATTTGGTCGAAGACGAGAAAGGAGGCGATAGGGACCAGAACAATTTCAATAGAGGAGCAAACTAAATGCTTGTGGTCGCCGGAAACACAGCCATGAGACGTAACCATATGTGACATTATGAGGCACGCTGGAGAGGTCGAGCTTCGTCTAGGCCTTTCGTCCCATTCGAGATACAATCGCACACGGAATGGTGGATCTCCGAGATCGTGGTCTGGCAGCACCACCCACACTTTCGCGTTTGCAGAAGCCGAGGGGCAGCTATATTGCGGTAATATACTCCGCATTTGCAAGGGTCAAAGGGCAAAGCTTTTCGTTGGATCATTGTCACTTTCTTCCACTCGCCATGAAATGTGCAAGCGACACCCGGCCGGGTGGGGATGTGAGATCTCATCGCATTGCTAAGAAGTCGCCTTGCTTTCGTTCGGCGCACACCGTCGAACAGCTGAGAAGTAACCCTTTGCAGGAGAAAACATTAAAAAAAATTAGTAAAAACATAAAAAAAGCTCGCAAGGAGGTAGCGAACCAGGCCCGAGGATTGAGACTCAAAGGATGACTACAGGAAGGGCCGGGATACACCAATCTGGCAGAATATCAGAGAAATATCTGACCGTTTTTCTGTCATCGAACCCGTTTTGTGTGCCCGGGCAGAACGACTTTCCGTCCTTCAGAATTTGGTCTGCACCTTGCTTGCGAGCCGTCTTGGTGTCTGATTTGTTAGGCCCGAGTTTCTGCCCTTTCTTGGCCGTTCTTTGCAGCATATGCAGCCTATGCAGGTCTGTAAATGGCCGAGAAGCCTCGAGAGGCGGCCCTGTGCTCTGATTCGTGGATGGCCTCCTGCATGCTGCACGTCTAGTCGCAGCGGCCAATCTGGATAGGAGACAAGAGAGGTCGAAGGGTGGGTTGAAAGGTGGGTGAGAGGCACGTTTGGAAGAACCAAAGAAGAAAAACAATAGTGAAGGAGAAGGAGGGTGCAAAAATGGGAGGGGGAAGGACTGTACACGAGATTTTGGGAAAAGAGAAGGGAGAAAGAAGCAACGAGGAAGGCTATACGACATACTTCGTATGCGCCTTCCCAGAGCAACCTTTGCGATGAAGATCATAGAGCGACGCTCGTCATGTGCTCTTTCCTCCGATTGATTGTAGTAGAATGCCGTGAGCTGGCCTGTATTCTTGCCGCCGCGGGAGGGAAGGAGCGGACTCGCCCATTTGCGCTATTGTCAACTAGGAACACAGCCGATCACGACAAGATTGTTCCTCAGCTCCTTCCCTAACTTTTGTTTATTGGAACGCTTCTCCATAGGGGAAAGAGGGACCAAGGCCACAAGTACGACAAATCTCGTAAAGAAAGAGCGACGCAAACAGTCGCAAAACAATACGAAAAACAACGATCTTTGGCACGGAGAAAAAAACTCGGGTGGCAGGAACGGCTTGTCCTAGCGAGCGGGGGTCCGAGTCCAATTTGCTACTGGAAGCAGCCGCTAATGCACCAGAAGTCCACTGGCGGCCCCCAATAGCATGATGATTGCAAAAGATGCGTGGCATTCAGCACGCATGGCCTGCTCTTAGCCCAGTTCTGTTTGGAAAAAGGACCCAGGATTCTCTGTCAAGGGACTGGACAACGTTCCACCCGAGCCCTCTTGCTGCACATTCGCCGCCGTAGCTGTCTTGTCTGTGTTTTTGAAACTGTTACAGTGGCTCTTTCCTCTAGACGAGAGTGCATTGCGCCGTAAAATTCTTCCAGAGCACGGCCAGGGCCTGTGAGTATGGAAAGGGCCGGGGGCAGCGCCTTCCTTTCCTGGTGGTCCCAATCCGCTGCACCTGCCTCTCCCAGCCTCTCTGCTCTTGCCTATTTTTGCTCATACGCTCTCATCACACTTTGCATCGTTGCAGCGTAATATGTCCCCCTCTTCTCCTGGCTTCTCTCCTTGTCTCCTTACAATCTCACCATATTCCGTATTGCTCCTACGATCGCTATTTTCGAACCACCACATTTCTCCGGTCACCGGCGGATCCTCACGACGGTTACTTCGCAACGAGACAGCACAGGCTCCGGCACAACCGAAACTGCCATCCCCCCCCGTCCCCTCGCTTGCCCTCCTCGTGATCACACTCCCGCTCGACCTCGACGTTTCCGGCCACGAGAGTTCTATTTGCGCCATGCGCTGGGTCGCGACACTCAGGCTGCAGTCTGGCTCACAAGTTTATGACATTCGAGGAGCTTTTGCGCCACGACCAGACGACCGAAGAGGGGCAAGACGCAGCCAAAACGACCCTGGCCAGACACGAGGACAAACCTGAGTAACAGCACAAACAAGTGACGAATTCTGTGGCAGTGGACAGCGCCACCTGGCCGTTCACGGCTTGCCTGAATTCGCAGGTGCGACGTCGACGGAATAAGATCTTTTCACCCCGTGGAACGACGGTTCTAGCATCGACAACTTCTACTTTATTTTCAAAAGCGACAACGCTGCTGCTGGACACTGCGCGCTTTCCGCACTTTCTTTCTTCAAAACCGACTGCAAGGTTTGTTCAACTTTTACGCGTCTCGAGCCTTTGAGGACCCGACCAACTTTTATCGCCTCATTTCTGGATCCTTGTTTCGACCAAAAATCATAAAACCGCACCAGCTCCGCTAAAACGTCAAAGTTGGGCCAAGATCTCCCGAGCCTTGAGAGTTTCTTCACATTCACGTTTGCTCTGCCACGCACCATGATCAGCACGCCGTCCATTTCGCTCTCACCGATGCGCTCTTAAAGGGATAGACCACGAAATTTGGCGAACTACTTGGCTCGGGCCGTCCAACGGCTAGCGCCAACACGATGAGACCGCCGCTTGCAACCGCGCCTGCAACGGCGGCTGCGGATGATGGAGAGACGCCATCTGCATCATGGCCAGCCTCTGCAAACCACCACCCCCTCTTCAAAAAGCACAAAGTGCTTCCCCATCCTAGCAAAGATACCTCGTACACTAGTTTGCGAAGAGTGCCTCGCCCATTAGGGCCGCCGAAAATCTCCGGTCCCGCCTTGGCAATTTCGGCCGCGTCTTCATCCGCGGGTGGCTTATCGGACGATGCATCCGTCACATATTCACAGCCTTCCACCCCCCGCACAAAGAAACAGTACCCCAAGACTTTGGGCAATGGCCCTGACTTGCCCCCAACACCACCGGCACACTCCCGCAACTCGTCAGCTACCTACTCCGTTTTGCCATCCACTGCGACCTATGCCCAGAGCCCGGACCGGAGTGCCGAGGATGTGCAACTAAAGCCGGCGCTGCCCACGACACCGACGAAGCAGCTGAGCCCACCTACACCCGACGTCACCCCGCCACATACTATTCACCCTGAATCGCGCCCAAAGGGCCCTCCCTCGCGACCGCCCCTCCGGGACCGCAACATGTCGAGAAGCACCGCCGACTCCAGAACGGCGTCGTTTAAGACAGCAGGCGAAAATCCATCATCGTCATCATCCGACAACGAGGACAGCTTCACATCACTTCCGCCCGCTCCGATCTCAGCGCGGACATCAGAAAGCACGGTTCGCCACTTCGTGGCCGAGAACCATGAGACCCCTAAAAAACGCGAACCGAAGGCTGTGGGCCTGGGTCTAGGCCTGGAGTCCAGTCCCGAGGAGAGCATCACTCCCAAATCAAAACGCGAATTTGTTAGTTTCGACGGGGAGTGGGGCTCCAAAACTGACGATGCTGTGAAGGAATGGGACGATAATCTTCAACGGAATGTTGCTGTGCGGCACCCTCGAACCGCAAATCAGAATGCAGCGGGGTCAGGCGTCCGAGACGAAGTCTTTGAAGACGTTATAGTGACGCCAACAAATGCAACAAAGGCGCTTCGTTCCATATCTTTGCCTCAGAGGATTTTGACCTTCCCATCTTCGAACGAAAGTACCGACCAGCTTAGAACACAGGCACAAAAGCCAGTTCAGCACCGACAGCCACCTCCACCACCACCACAACAACAGCAGCCGCGACGGCAACAACAGCGACACCAACGTAGTAAGAGTCACCAACTGCCGCAGGCGGTCGAACAGAGTCGCGAGCAACCAGTCATCGAACAGATGGCACCTACTTTGGCTCCGTCGACGCGCGACAGGCGGCCTCGTATCTCGACTGCATCATCTACATCGAATGTGCCTGCTGTTGCGGAATCTGCTGCCTTTTTTAGCTCACCCCCACAAAGGCAGAGGACGCTTCGTCACGTAAAAAAGCAAGTTACACTCCGCGACTCGGGACCCGACCTGTCTCCTACAAGCTCCACAGCTACGTCACTACTGGACGAGACAACCAGACAGCGACGTCCGAACGGTGGGCGTTTCAACAGCAGTGGCCACGACAGCATTGCCTCCACGACCAGCATGAACAGTATCTCGAGCCGGAGCGCCAGACGTGAGATCTGGAAGGCAGGCGGTATTCCTGTTGTTGTTGTCCCAAGCCGCCTGTCATCTGTGAGATCGTCCAGTCGCGAGCCCTTTCTTCGCTCAACCAGCAGCCGCCGATCGACGAGGAGCCAGAGCTTGCACTCTGCGCCACTGTCCCAGTTTTCAAAGAGCAGGGAGGTCTCTCCATACATGGAACAGGGCAGCCGGCGAAGCAGGGCGTATTCTGCGTCTGAAGGATCCACACGGAACAGCTTCGCGCGTGATGGCTCTGCACCGGGTGATCAGCGCACGATCGACTTCCCTCCTACCATTCCGAAGCGGTCTTCATCTCTTTCGGCCCCGACAAGCCGCAACGTGTCACGGAGTGGATCGCTGACTGCTGAAAGCGTTCACGCGCATTCGGCAATCTTGAAGGCCCGCCTCAATGACCAGGCGAAAGCTTCTCCTGGTACTGAGCCGAATGATACAGACCATAGCACTGCAGCGGGGCTAGCTCAACAACAATCCGAGCGGTCTTTGGAGCCAGCATTACGGCCTGAGATTAGATATGAGGCTCCTGCAATCCCAGAGGCTCGGCGCTCTGAAAGCCTCTTGTTACGCGATACGCAGATGGAGCAAAGTATTGCTGCGGATGAGACAGTGCTACCTCGGCTCGGCGACCACACCGAAAGACACGAGGATGTCCAAAAACGTGATTCGGATAAAATCCACGGCGATGACAGCAACTACGACCACCGCAACCTCCTTGACCCGAGATCGAGCTTGGATCGTTACATGGACCGCTATTCTTCACGGCACTTGTCGCCGCACAACACTCCCTTCTCCATGGTGTCTGTTGAGACGAACACGACACATCACTCCCAAGCTGAATTGTCTGAAGCCTTGGCAGTCAACATCTACCCTCATCAAAATACCTCGGTGCTTGTTGTTGACCACTCCAATCGACCGTCAGATTGCTCAGACGACTCACAGCCAGACCGCCTGACGGACGACACGGGGCCTAGCTCCTCGAAACAGGAGTCGTCTCCAGCATCAGACTTTGCATCGGCTCTCACGCCAAGCTCCGTCTCCGCGCCACCGCTAGATCGGCCAAGAATAACAAAGACGGATCACGACACAGCAGAAGACGTACCTGTAACGCCATCCCACCAGCAACCATTCTCACTCGACGATGTCGACTCGCCTCTGCGGAATCCGCGTGCTCCGCCAGAGCCTCCAGCGATCAACTTCATCCCGGCAACGCCATCAGGGCTAACCCCATCGACTGAGAGAGAGCAGAACCGGGGCAACTACTTTGAAGAAGTTGTCCAAGGTGCTAGCGATGGCAGACCTCGCCGGCGGCGCAGTGTATCTTTAGTTTTGCGAAAGGCGCTCAGCCGTGGCCGCAGTGCGACAGCCGAGTACGGTCCATCGGCCAGCCGAAGCGGTGGTCTTTTGACACGCACGCTGTCGTTGACGAGAGACGTGCAGAGGAAAGCGTTTTCCATCCGTCGCTCTGACTCCATTGACCAGGGCAGGGGTACCTCCTTTGAGATCGAGCCTGTAGAGGAGGATAAGCTCCACCCATTCTGGCGGCCGGCTTCCCAGCTGTTGGATGACGACGATTACCGGCACAGCAACGGCCACGAGGACGAGGAAAACTACCGGTATCCTCCTATTGACAACCGCCCACGTGGCCCGCGGAGAAGTCTGAGCATGCGGATGAAGAAGACGTTTGCCATCCTTCCCATCGACGCGGCGGATGATTTCTACCCAGCTTCGATTGACGACATACCGGCGGATCGCCGGACAGTACGCCGCACGCCTAGTGGCAACCTACGTGTGGTCAAGCATCACGGAAGCACCGAGTCTCTTGGTGAATATGCTACAGTCGACGACCACCGGCCATACACGGCGCCTGGGCGTCAAGGCAGCCGCAAGTTTCGGTTTTGGCGCAGCCCTTCGTTGGGCCGCAGAGACCGCCCCGAGCTGCGTGACAACTACTACAGCCAGAGTACTGGCGCTGATGCCGGCAACGCGGTCCACGAAGACGAGAAACCCGGGTCCCCAGGTGCCGCCGGTGCGGATGGTGCTGCTGGAGGGGATAGAAAACCCATGAGGATCTTGCCGGATCTTGGCCTGGGCGACAAAATTGGCGAGTACGGACCACATACGATTCCGCGGCGATTTAGCGAACGGCGCCGGGAGAAGAGGAGCAACGAGCTGCGGCAGAAGATTAGCGGACCGCAGGAGGTTCGCGATGGCGTGGGCGAGGTGATCCGGCGGACAAATTACCGCGACGCCTTTACACAAGCTCAAGCGAGCTGATTGTCGTGTTTGAATTTTTACGAACGTTATGATTTTGACGGTCTTTTTTTTTTTTTTTTTTTTTTTTTTCAGGTTTGTTTTCTTCTTGCTCATGATGTTGCTTGTCGTTTCAGATATTTGCTTTCTTTTGAACCCTCTTTATATCCCGTTCCGTTTATGATGCCCTCCGATATGTCACGACAAACAATTGCGGCGAGTTATATATTATTTTACGATCTCTTGGACGGCCAGCTTAAATTTAAATTGGCCAGGAGTTCTGTTATCGTGTTGCGATTCTATCATATGTGTATTCTTGTCAACTTACCTAACGTCTTTATGTGTACAAATTTTGCAGATTTTGCAAATTTTGCATCGACAAACGACAAACGACAGGTTCTTCATTACGGACCAAATGTCGCAGTATTTTCGTTCCACCTATACATGCTAATTGTCGCCATAAAAAGGCAATATTCAGGGTATTTGATGTATTAACAAAATTCAGCTGTGCACCGTGTGACCGCCGTTTTTGAAATCCCGGAACGCCATGTCTGTTCCCAACGCTTTCCCTTTCTCCAAACGAGACAGGAGCAACAGCAAAAGACGAATGAGGCCGTAAAGGCCGTTGTATGTACAAAAAATACAAGGAAATAAATCAGACACACCAAACAACAACAAATGATGGGATTGCATATAAAAAACAAAACGAAAATAAAAGCACATATCGAGAACAACTACGCCATGGCTGGCCGACTGGTCTCTCTGTTGCCATGATTATCGTCTGTCGCCACCAGGCGGGCCAGGCATTGGCGGCCCACCCGCACCGGCGCCGTGCATGAACTGCGGCGGTGGAATCGGCGGGAAGCCGGGCTGGCCGGGTACAGGGATGGGCATGCCGGCCGGGAAGCCAGGGAAGTTGGGAGGTGGCGCACCCGGCTGGCCCGGCAGAGGGATGGGGAAGGGAAGGGGGGCATACCGCCTGCAGCAGTAGCAGCAGCACCCGGGGGCGGAATGCCGCCGGGCGCGCCGTTGGCACCGAGCGCGGGAGGCGGTGGCGGGATGGGGAAGCCACGGCCGCTGCTGCCGCTGCCACCGCCGCCACTGCTTGGGGCGCCCCCGCCAAAGGCTGCACTGCCGGGCGGTGGCGGTAGACCGCTGCCTGGAGGTGGAATGGGTGGCGGGATGCCGCCGGGGAAGCTGAAGTGTGGTGGCGGCATGGGCAGGCCGCCGACACCGGGCGCACCCGGGGCACCAGGCGCGCCCGGGGCACCGCTGGCACCGCCAAAGGACGGCGGCATGGGCATGCCACGCGGCCCACCCGGAGGGCCCCCGCCATTCATAAAGCCCGGACGTCCGCCGCCGAAGCGGGCTTGGGCGGCAGCGTAGCCGGGCTGGTTGTGGGGGAGCATGGGGTTTGCATGGGCCTGGCCCTCGGCGGCGTAGGAAGAGGTGATCGAGTCGATAACTGATTGTGCCTTTTCGTGGCCGATTTCTGTTCGCAGAGGCGGGCGTCTGTCAGCAGCGCGTCCGTCATGATCGTGGCGATTGTACTGGTTTTGCCAATTGTGGCGACGGCTGTGCGGTCTGCCGCTGCTGTTTCTGCCATACGAAGGAGCAGCAGCAGGCGCACGAGCCGTGTTGAAGCCGTTGTACGTGCTGGAAGAAGAGGAGAATGACTCACGTTGGTAGTAGTCGACGACATTGCGCAGATGATTGCGGCCGCTGTTGTGGGCCTTGCGCACGCTCATCGAGTCGTGGGTGAGGTAGACATCGCAGTAATCGCCTGGGGGCATGTGTGTTAGTGAGAGGAAGGGCACAAAGGATGAAGGATCGGAGGATGTCGCGCAGTTTCGAGGTTCTCGTTTGGACTGGATGGTCACATCGAGCTACGTACAAAAGACTAGAGTCAAATGTTAGCATAGGAAGTCATGTTCACGAAGGCGTTCGACTGCAAGAAGCGGAGGCATACATCTAGGCATTTTGATAGCGTGGTGACTACGTAGTCGCGCCTGGCCAGGTGTCGGCGTCGGAGGTTGTCGATCAAAACGGGCGGGCTTCGCAATCTCGAGTGCGCCGAGCATGCAATCGCAAAAGTGAAGCTTTTCGCGGGTCGATGTTGAGATGGCGTCGGTCGCTCTTGCTACGAAAAACATTGCATGGGAAGGTAGCAGCAGCCTGGTCCGGTTAGGCGCCTTGTCACGTGCCGATAAACGAAAGATGGAAACAGTGGTCGCGCCTTCCTCAAGGATCTGGCCCAGAGGCGCTGCTCCACCCTGATTGGCCAGGACATCACAGGCACGACTCAGGGGGCAAGCGCCCAGCTTTGGACACGGGTTTTCTTCCTAGAGTGGGTCTTTCTAGGAGCTTGATTGGGGGAATCACAGGGGGGTAGGGAGGGAAGGAGCTGCCGGTGCGTGAAGGGGAAACGCGACTCGCAAGGGAAAGAGGTGTTCAGATTGATTCTAGAGCCTTTTTTTTCTTCATCTCGAAATTCGAACATCACCAACTGTCCGCCCCCGTTCGCATTCCTGTACAACGTGCGAGTGCATCCGGCAACCGAATCGACGACTGAGCGAAGCGTTTCGACGTTCGGTTCCTTTCGTTTCTCGCGTCCTCTTCGACTCTCGTGTTCCCTCTTTCGTCGTCTTTCGTCTGCGTCCGTCTCCTTTCTTTTCCGTCCACGTCACAATGCTTCCCACGACATTGCAGCAAGGCCTGTACGGCCTGTTTTTGTTTGCGACGGCGGCCCAGGCCCTTAAGTTCGACCTGCACCCGACCAACGGCCATCCACGCTGCATACGGAACTTTGTCACCCGCGACACCCTTGTGGTCGTGACGGCAACTGTCGGCGGCCACAAGGGCGACGGCCAGGTGGTCAACATGCATGTGAGTACACATTGGACTGGGAAACATAGAGAGAGACATACGGTTGGTGGCTGCTGCTGACAGGCACAACAGATCAAGGATGCTGTCGGCAACGAGTACGGCCGGGCCAAGGACATTGTCGGCGAGAAGCGGACCGTTTTCACGTCGCACGCGGACGCCGCATTTGACATATGCTTCGAGAACAACCTCGCGCACCGCGGCGGCGCCGACAGCTTCCGCCACATTGAGCTGGACGTCGACATTGGCGCCGACGCCAAGGACTGGGCCGCCATCCAGGCCAACGAGAAGCTCAAGCCCGTCGAGACGGAGCTGCGGCGCATCGAGGAGATGCTCAACGAGATTGTCGGCGAGATGGAGTACCTGCGCCAGCGCGAGCAGAAGCTGCGCGACACCAACGAGAGCACCAATACGCGCGTCAAGTGGTTTGGCTTTGGCACCACGTTCCTGCTGATTGGCCTCTGGGGCTGGCAGATCATGTACCTGCGCGCCTACTTCCGGTGGGTTTTCTATCTTTTTGCTTTCCTCCACGGTTCTCCTCCTTTTACGTCCACTAACACCCCCCGAAGCTCCAAGCATCTTATTTAAGGCTACCGGCGACGATCGACAACCACCGGCATGCTCGGAACGGACGGGCTTTTGCGCTTTGCACGCCTCGCCATACACCAACCTTTCTTTACTGTACCCTTATTTAATTCATGCATGAAAATACTGCATTTACGGAATCCCGGGCGGCAACGGGCTATGTCAAGTTAAGCAGCGAAGCGCGAGAGGAGGAAAGATAACTACACAGATAACTATGGACATACGACGGATATGGGGGTGACTGTCTTTATTTTTACATCTACACGGTACCGTGGTGCTTCGACCCGTGAAGGACATGTGGAGGCGCTTCTTCAGTGTATAGCATGGGAATGAACTGGCGCAAAAAAGACGGGTAACTACTATTTTTCTTGACATCCAGTCGACCGTTTGGCTTTGACTGATTTGAACAAGTTCGAAATGTTGGAGTGAACGCTGTGAACATGGCACGTGACCAAATTGAAGAGAATGGTTCGCATCTGACCAGCTCAGCAATGAGATGAAGCAACATGGGCGTGGAGACTTGCTACTGTAATCTTGACTTTGATGCGAATGTATTCGATGTCTGCTTCGACGTCGGGACTCCTGCAGCCCATTACACCGACAGACCGTGATGTTGGCGGTTGCAGTAGGATTTATAATGACGGCAGTGGTTCTGCGCAGAGCCCGCTAACAGTGCTGCTTAGGGGACCCGAGGTGCTCCTTCCAGCGGGCGGCAGCGGTAAAGCCGACCACCTCGAAAATTTATAGCCGACTCTCAATTCGCTTGTGATAGACGTCGTCTCTTCTTCGACAAAACAACACCAGCGCACACATCATATAGACAAACATACAACACCACAATGACTGCTCAACGACTCTTACGGCCGGCGCGGGACGCCCTGCGCACGCTGCCCTATGCCACACCCCGCACCTGCACATGTCGCGCCCACCGGTCGACGTCATTTTTCTCGACCTCTTCCTCACCCAGGAGCGCCTCTTCCAACGACGACGTCAGCCGCTCCGGGCCCATTAATCCCCAGCCCGCCAGCGAGCTGCAGCTGGGCGAACTGCCGGGCGGCACGTTCCGCATCGAGCCGCTGCGCCGCGTCGGCGAAGACGTGGTGACCATGCGCGCGCGCTTGCTCTACCAGTCGCGGAAACGCGGCACGCTCGAGTCGGACCTGCTGCTGTCGACGTTTGCCTCGGCACACCTAGCGACGATGACGGCCACGCAACTGGAGCAGTACGACCGGTTCCTGGATGAGAACGACTGGGACATCTACTACTGGGTGACGCAGGAGGAAAACACGCCCGCCACAGCAGCCGACGAGGGCAGCGGCAGCAACATCCGTGAACGCCCTGCGCACGAGTGGGCGCAGACGGTGGGCACGTTCAAGCCGGCGTATCGCCCGGTGCCGGCGCGCTGGCAGGGCAGCGAGATCCTGGCAATGCTGCGGCAGCACGTGCAGGAGCGGTCGGCCGAGGGCGAGATTGGCCGCGACGACGGCAGCGCAAAGGCGACAATCAGCAAGACGAAGCGAACCGGCGAGGGCATGGCCTTTATGCCGCCGCTGCCCGACTTTGGCAAGAAGTAGGGTGCGAGGAGCAAGGATGGGGGGGACATGCATATAAAAAAAACATATTTAGACTTTGAAACCCGCATGGAATGCCGGATGAAAACAAAGGAAATCGTCATGCTCATTATCAGACACAAAAAGTGTGGACAAAAGAGACAAAAGGAAACGAAACAAGACAAGAGGAAAGTACATGAAGAAAAGCGTAAGCACAAACGACGGAAAAGCAAATATGCACAATGCAGAACGCACAATGCAAAAGAAAAAGAAAACCCACCCAACGCTCGTCCCAGCTCCCAGTAAATTCTCGTCCCAAGGATATCCTGCCCCAATCAACCCCATATGAACGCCGGTTTTGTGTGAAAAATGGCACTGAGTGTACGTCGTAAAGCATCCGGAATGAGACGGTCGCACACACGGACACCCGCATCAACTGCCACTGCTCCCACCTCCGCTGTCTTCCGGCAGGATCCTGCCCAGACTCCGCAGTACCTCCATCACCGGCATCTCCCGCGTGCCCACGGCCGCCTTCTCGCGGTCTTCGCGGGCCTTGAGCCGCGCTGCGCCCAGTCGCAACAGCAGGTCCGCCTCGCGCCCGGCCACAGCCACCCGTTGATCCAAAACGTGCACGTTGGCCGCCAGGTGGTCGACCTGGAATGCCGCCGCTGTTCGTAACTGTCCGACGCGCTCCTGTATTTGGGCCCGGAAAGCGGCTGCGTCCGAGGTTGCTACTGCTTCTGATTGCTGTTGCCGTGACAGGACGACCTGCAGCATCTTTGCCTCCTCCGGGTCGAGAAGGCTCTCGTCGGGTAGTGGTGGCGCCTTGGCGAGGTCGGCGGGGCTGGCGTCGGCCGCGTACAAGGGCTGCAAGTCGAGCGTTGGCTTTGCCATCGACATCCATTTTTTCTTTTCCTCTTTTAACCTGCAGGGTGTTGTTAGTTTGGCAAATTCAGATTGCTTGGCCAAAGCCCTTCCGCCTTCCATCCATTTGACGCACCTCTTGATCCTCGCCTCGAGCTCGGCAATCTTCTCCTCGTGCTCAATGTTGCGCGGATTCGGCTTCAGTACTACGGGCCTCTTGGGCTTCTGGGCCTCGTCGTCGGGTAGCTCGTCGCGACCGAACCAGTTGGAGAACTCGGCCCGGTTTGCAAAGTCCTTCAGCAACTGATCTTGTATTGCGCGGGCTAAAGAGCGGCTGGAGTTAGCACATGCAAGCTTCAGAATCGTCGCATATAAAGAGCACAATGACACAATGAACGTACCACCCAAGAGCGCACTCGAGTTGGCCGAGCCGTGCGGCGGCTTCTCTGACAACGCCCGCTCGCCACACCACATGAGCAGCTGCCGCATCCGCCGCGGCTCCGGGAGTCCCTCCGCCTCAATGTGCTTGTAGAATTCGGCTGCGTCGACCTCGCGGTGCGGCAGCGCGCTGTGTCCGTTGTCAATCAGCGAGCTCGCGCGCCGTCCGCGCATGCCCACACTGCTGCGCCGCTGCCCGGTTTTTCGCCGGAGCTCCTTGTTGCGGTTGATGATGGGCGTGTCGCTAAACGGCAGCGCGATCGTCTGGTGGTGCACACTCTCGCTTGGTGGGGTCCTGCTCATGTCGTTCGTGTTGTCGTTGCTCGTGTCGGCGCTATCTACAACAGCAACATCGTCGTCGCCATCACCGTTGTCCCCGCCCGCCACTTCGGGCTCTCGCCGCTTGGCTGTGCTCCCACGCGGTTTGCGTCCCCGGCCACTGGAAGCACCGCGTGGTGCTGGTGGTACTGGCGCTGGTGGTGGTACTGGCTCTTCGACTCGCTCAGACGATGTACGTGTCCTCCGCTTCGACTTGGCTGCTGGCGCGGGCCGCGCAGAAATCTCGTCTTCTTCGTCTTCATCGACCGGCGGTGGTAATGTCTTGGCGGCTTTTGGCGGCCGCCCGGGTCGCCGTGTCGACGCGGCCGGTTTTGACTGGGGCTCTACTTGTTGTGGCGAGGTGGTGGACGACCGTGTTGTCAACGGTGGTGATGCGGGGATGGCGCCGCGCCTCCGTCCTGTGCTCTGTCTGCTCTTCTTCTCTGCTGCTGGTGCGGCCAGCTCCGGCGCAGCTGTCGTCTTGGCACGCTTGGAGCCGCGTGTGAATGTAAAGTCGCCATCCTGCTCATCGTACACAGAGGTGGCTGCAAGAGAAAAACAAACGTTAGCATAACTACGACATCGCAGAAAAGGACATCCAGAAACGCGTGAACCTACCAGCAATGCGTTTGCTGCTGCGGCGGCTGGCCTGGTTGCTCATGCTCAAGTCCTGAAGCGGTAGACGGGTGCGTACGAGGGTCGTCATGGATGGCGGGCGCGGGCCGGAGATAAGAGCGGGCAATATGCAGACGGTGGTGTGGTGCGGCTATGCTGTGACGGCGACGGAATAGAGCCGTAATGCGTGCGTCGTCTGTGTCGTCGCTGGGTGCATGTCCCGTGTGCCTCTAGGTGTGCGCCCGGTGTCGACACCCGCCCTCAGTTGTGCCCGGTATTGTCCCGGCGAAGGTAGAAACGCGTTCCGAATGCGCCGTCAGACGTTCCTGTCGTCGATTGATCTCGTGTTGCCCTTTGGTGCCTCGTCCCAAGTGGCTGCTTCCGATGGCCGGGCAGCTCTCCCCGCTCAATTGGTGCGTTCCTCGAATGACGCACAGCGGCTGATTCGCGCTTGTGTCGTTTGCAATCGCTGGCCGTGGTGCTTTCGCTGGCTGTAGACGATATCGCACGCGCCTTGTCGAAACTGTTGGAGCAGATTGACGCGTCGATTTTCTGTCCAAATTGTGGTCGTGATGCTTCGTCGGCAAGGACAAATATCGTGTCGGAGCCTCGTGCCAACAATCGCGTAATGCAGGCAGTGAGGGTGGGCGCGTCGGCGTCGTCGATTGGGCGACTTGGCTTATGAGTGGTGTGTCGTGCGCAGAACAAACGGTATCGCGAGATTGCAAAAGAGTTGAAGGAGGGAGGGGAAGGGGTGGAATTGGGACGGCGCTTCCTTCCTCAACGAGCGGTTTCCGTCCTGCTTTGCTTGGTTGTTGGTTTTGCGATTTGCGCCTTGGGTCGCGGCTTCCGGGTCGGTCTTTTCTCCCACCTTTCCTTCCCCCTTGTTCGTCGACGATTTGTTTACGCGCGCTGCACGGCGCACCTGATTTGCCAGTTTTGGATGATGTGGATCCGCGCTAGCCTAAATAAGAAAAGCGTGGCAGCCGAGAATGGGTAGACGTTTTGTACGGAGTAGTGGGAAGTGAGCGAGAAATATTGTCACGTGGTATCCAGAGGTCTGGTCACGTGTCGGAATTTATCAAGAACCTGCATCGTATCTGAGCCAACATTTGTCACGAGAAACGACCGTCAATGAAATTCCGCAACGCGCACCGGACAGTAAGCAGTCGTAATTTTTATTGAATGTGATAGATGCTGAATACAATGTGGCAGAACACTATATATACTGAGTTGCCGGTCACCGGGAATTTTGTTGCCTCTACCCCCTGAACCATCCACCGTCAACAACCCGGTTGACATCAAGTCATCTTCTCATGCAGCAAGTCGACAAAGAAAGAAAATGTAAGAGACGAAGTAATAAACGAAGGGAAGGGTAAGAAAATGAACCAAGTACAAGGACGTGTCAGTCCAAGTAAATGACATGGGGAAAAACAAGCACGTAGAAACCGGAAAACCAAGGTTATAAGGAGAATAACAAAGAAAAAAAAATCACAAACACGCTGAAAAGACATCCCAAGTTTAAGGAAACCCCACCGGCCCTGGTCCACCTTGTCCTTCCCCTACCAGGCAGGGCCTTGATGCCGCAGGCCTTTCCGTTTTTGTGTGCGACCTTTGTTGCCCGTCGTTTTGTTCCAAACACCAGAAAGGGCAAAATCGAAGAAAAAAAAATATGACGACGGAAAGTAAACCAAGAGAATGATAAAATCAAAGAAAAGTTAAATCCACGGATTGTCCGTCCCAAACTAGAATTATGGTATACGCCACCTTTTGCTGATGTTACACATGAGACAACGGCCCCATGGCATACCCTCTAGGAGAGCACACCTCCTTATCTCGCCTCGTCTCGTCCTGTTCCACATCTCATCACATCTTCCTTTTGGTCAGCGCGGATTGGGGGGGATGTACGGCCCGCAAATCCAATGCAGAGACTGTAGAGACATGTGCTGAGTTTAGCGACCCACTCTAAGAGAACCGCCGGGTATTAACCTGGCCAGCAATCACTGGCTGGCTTGCCATGGGCGCGGCCATGCCGTAGGGGTTCATTTGCTGGTTGAAGGGCTCAATCGACTGCTGCAGATACGTCCCGTGAAGGCCCTGTTGTTGCGTAATAGGACAATCCTTGTGAGCCAAGAGCAGCGTCTTGAGGTTCACTATTTCTTCGCGCAGCTGATTGATTTGCGAAGAGAGGTTCTCGTTCTCTGTGCTGTACAATTCAACCTTGGTCTGCAAGTTCTGAAGCCACTGCTTCTTGCGTTGACGACACTTGAGCGCCGCGACACTGTTTGGGGGGAAATTGTCAATATATGAGAACTGTTGCTATGCAACCTAATGAGCAAAAAGGTGGCGGCGAGAGAACATACCGGTTGCGCTCAAGGAAGTTCTTGCGCTTCTCCTCCTCAGTCATCTTGGGACGGGGCTGGCCGTCCTTGCCGAGACGGTTATCGTCGTCGTCGGACTGCGAGTCCCCGTCGCCGGACATGTCGTCTTGTGGTGGCGAAATGGCGGCGGCGGTCTTTGCTTTCTTGGCAGCGGGGCCTTTGACCGGCGCATCAGAAGCCTTTCTCCGGTTGTTGCCAGCAGTGCCGTTGTCGCCAGACGAGTTGCGCTTGCCTCTCCCCTTTGCATTAGTGCGCACGGGTTCACTCTCATCCGACACGGCACTAACAGCCTCGCTAGTACTGCGCCCGTTCTTGGACGCACCAGTGCCGTTGGTGGCACCATGACCGTTTGTCATGGAAGTGCCATTGGCACCACGCACAGGAGGTTGACCGGGAATGACTGGAATTGGCACGGGCGTCTGGTTTACGACAGGCGGAGCGTTCGGCATGCCGGCAACAGAAGGCGGCAGTGGAACAGCAGTGTTAGACACCGGCTGTGGTGGCGGGGGAGCAATAAATTGAGCCTGAGGCTGGGCACTGCCACGACCCTGAGCAAGCAGGTAAAGACTATTGGCTGCATTACTATCCTGGTCGAATGCCTTTGCTTCAGGCTTCGAGGCAGGCACGGAGGCGGCAGGCGGGTCCTGCGGCGCACTTGTCGGAGCCGAGGTCTGCTGCTGGTTGACCTGGTTGGTCAGCTGAGTTTGCTGCTCGCGCTTGGATGCCGCGGCGGTCATAGCGGTGCGGTGGAAGTCCAATGTTCCAGGTGTAGCACCACCGCTCTGGAGCTGCGCGAACACGGCCTGGGAACTGGGACTTGGCGCGGGAAACATGGAGCCGCTGCCGCCAGGGGTCAAGCCCGTTCTCATTGACGATTCATTGGGTGTGGGGAAGCCGCCACGCAGATGGGTGTCGCCAAAGTAGTCGTTTGTGGGACCGGACAGCATCGCCGGGCTAAGAGGACCAGTCCGGAGCGACCCACCACCCCAATTGAATGACGGTGTCGTGCCGCCGGGCAGAAGCGACGACGGCGAGGTGAGAGAGGCCACGGACGGCAATTTTGTCCCGTTCGGAGTATCTCCGCCCGCACTGCTACTGCCGCCAAACGACTGCTCAAAGGGGTTCGGCTCGAGGCTCAGTGAGCCGCCAGCCCCGCCAACCTGGCTCGCAAAATAGTCTGGGGTGTTTCCGGACTGTTGGTTGGGACGGGGCGGTGGTGCGAGAGGCTTGGCGGGTTCGGCATTGGAGGACGGGTCGGGTTTCTCAGCAGATGTCTGCACCTCTGGAGGAGCGAAACAGAAGTCGTCAGCACATGTTCTTTGGGATGAAAAGAAGAAAATGGAGAATATAAAGACGAAGGGATTGGGAGTCAAGGTCGAGTAGAGTCAATGTCGGTGCGTAAACAATGGAGTCGCAGATAAGATCGAGTGGTCGATACAAACGACGACTGGACAAGAATGAAAAATCGAAACATACCTCGTAAAGGTGATGACTTGGTCTTCTGCTTGGGTGATTTGGACGTACCGCGCGATGCGGGAGTCGGTGAGTGCTTTGCCATTGTGTGAGGTAATGGCAGGGTTGGCGATCGATAAATGATACTGATTAACGGATTGTTGACAAGTGTCGATGCAGTGGACACAAGCGGATTTGTAATGGTGAAAAGGCGTCTGACGGCGAGTCGCTTCGGCGCAAACGAATGGGAAAAAACAAGCCGGTCGCTCTAAAAACGTCGTTCTAAATCGAGTCGAGAGATGTGCATCTAACAAGTCGACGATCGTAAACGCGTAGATCGGTCGTTGTGTCGTCGCGTAGTCGCCGTTGTGCTGGGAAGAAAGCGTCCCTGGAGCGATGACGATGACGCAACGAGGCTTTGCGTAGGTGGAATGTTCCTCTCGACAAAAAACACGATGCAGAACAAAAAACGCAAAAAGCAAGTAGCAAACAACAAAATGGACCAACAATGCGATGTCCAACAATGGATAGGTGAGAGACACAAGGAAACGGACGTGACGATAGGATAACGTAGAGTAACAAGAGGGAAATTGAAAGCGTTGTGTAAAAACGGGCCAAACTCGTGTCGCAAAAGCGTAAAACGGGTCTGGGGACTGCTGGAAATGATGAAGAATGACGTCGGAGGGGAAGAAGTCACGATACTTTTCAAGAATAGAGTAAGATAGCACGCTGGCGATAGAAAACGGCAAGCCGATTAGGACAGGAGTGTTTTTTCGTCAAGCGTGAGCGGTTGGTGATGCTGTATCTCGTTGCAGTGACGGATGACGAAAGAGTTTGAAAGGGGAAAAAGAGGAAAATAGGAGAGAGAAAGAGAAAAGGCGGGTGACGTAGCTGGAGAAAAAGGTGCAGTGACGCCGTAGGCACAGAAATGTTTCGCAACGCGGACGGAACGGGGGCCAGCGTGGACACTACAGCGCAATGGGCAAGTGCTCGTAGGGGGAGTGAACTGACGGAAGGAAGTGAAAATTCGAACCATGACGCAGACGCCCATTTTCCCTACTTTCGACGTGGGTTCTTGCCTCATCCGCCTCTCATCCGTCTCTTTTCCTTTTTGGCACTTTCCCGCAAAAATCTTCCATGACTGCAGGTGATTGGCTGTGTTGAAGTGGAAAGTGGGCATGCAGTGTAAAACAATGGCGTTTGGAGCGATTGCAGAAACAGGCATAACGCGCCCCTTTTCGCAGTTTCCGTGGGTATGACGGCCACTAACGCACTTCGAGCAAGGTACTTGAGTGTACACGCAAAACTGGCCGTATGGGACATGTACCCAGTCTCAATGCCTCTGCCGCAAGACCTTTTCCCAGCCAGTGCATGCCGGGTCCCCACGCACTGTCGCCAGGAGGATGGCGTCTTTCGTGCGCGACATGCTCCGTAATATGTGATGCCAAGACTGTGCCTTTTGGTATTGGCCTAAATTTTGAAGCCTGTTGGCCAGGCCTCGGGAGCCCTAATTTTTGGGAATTTCAGGCCAGAGGCCAGTGGGATAGCGAGGCATCGCGCGCAGTCCCACTTTTGACACTACAAAGCTGAATAGGCACAAAGACCGTCTGGCGTGATTTGGGCGTGATTGCGAATTTACCGAACCGTGCTAAGCTTTGACAAGAGTGTGAAATGTGTAATTTACAGGGGTGGTTGTTGGATGGCCATTAATTTGGTCGCGCCTGCCGTTTTTTGCAGGTCTTGCTCTATTGCCGTTTCCCGCCACTTTGTCAGTATCACTTTGTCATGTTGCAGCTGGTCATCGCCCAGTTGCCGACCAAGCCTGGATGTGCATTGATTGAAAAGACAATGGGAAGGGGAGCGCGCCCAATGGCAATGAATTGGAGGTTCTGGGTGTGCACGAGAGGTTGGGGGTGTGCTCGAGCGTGCTCTTGCCATGCTGAGGAATGGGGACTCCCGACGGTTTTGCACTTGCCATGCCGCGCTTGCCACACGCCCCGTCCTCACACAGTGCTGTTCCGACCCACACAGTGTACGGATCACTTGTCAACGATCCAATCTACAGGCCCCTGTCTCCTGCCACTGCGTTTTTGTTTGCTACCTTCGATGGGAGTGCGATGCGCCTCACTTCCACTTGCGTCACGTCAAACAGGGATTCGACTGGGGACGCGTTGTGTGAGCAAAATATGGGGAAAGTAAATGCTACGATGATACTCCGCCCAGAAGAGGAAGGGACGATGGCGATGCAGCAGCATGAGCATGACAATGCGCATGAACGGGCAGGAACAAAGGTGAAGACAGCGGCGCGTGCAGCCTCCCATTTCTAACAGCCAGCCTTGCTCGGGTGTTTCGTAGCCTGCTCTCGTGGCCGAGCCGGTCTACTATCTGCCGGCAATACAGCCAACAGCCGCAGTGTCTCTGTTTTTACGTCGTGCGTCGTCATACTCGACCTTTTTCAGCGCTGGCGGCCTTAATAACTCTACATATAGACAAATATCGACATATATCAAAGACGGACACTCTGCCATATTAACACGCATACTTTGCAGAGTAGTTAACGTCATATCGGCGAGCAAGTCTGACAGTCCGTGTGTAGAACTTCCACACTCACCTCGCTACCAGTGTGCCGCCGACCGGCGGCAGAATTTAACTTATCACCGCATCGGAAGGAGGGGAACCGACTTTAGTTCTGTTGTTGTTCTAGATGGCCTTTCTGCTTAAGAAGTAGGGCAGCGGGCTCAAAAGACGATGAGGGCGTGGTAATCTTGTCCTCGTAAGTAGTTCGTGTCGAAGCTCAGCCTTGCAACTAGAGAACTCAACGTGTCGAATGCGCTGTACTACGCACAGAGGAGAGTCTTGATCTCTCGATGCACCGTAGCCACCTTTTGGCTGGCAAATTGTGTCGAAAGGACCACCTGTTTACTGTTCAAATCGAAAAGGGCAACACCGACTTGTTCTCGACATTTGAACGCTTTCGCTTCTTGCCGGCCTAATCCACTTTAACATGGGCTTTTCGCCTCTCTTTTCTGCTCCAATGTGCAGTCCTATCCTCTATCGTTGATACCCGGTTTTGCACCCATATTTTCCTACGTCTTACAAGACAGCACACGAGATGTCACGCTGCCACGCTCTTTCCCAGTGGGCAGCATAAAATGCCCCCACCTTTTTTCGTCGTTTCCCTTTCCATCGTTCTTACCGCTCCCGTCTTAGCACCGAACAGGCCACGATGTGCAGCGTCTTCACCCGTCTTTCGACCTTTCGTCCTTGCCTTTTTGGGGTTTCGCGTTTTTCAGTGGTTTTCTGGTCTGTCAAACGGTGCAGCACGCTAGCACCCACCCCTGTCGCTAGTTCGAGTGTCCACCGAGACACCGCATTTTACGACATGTCGTTAAGTTAAGAAAGAACCAACGGTGCGAGCGACGTCCCATTCGTACGCCCCAGATGAAAACAGAGGAATACGCTGCGTGGATGCTGGTACGCGGAATGCCCAACGCCCTATGGATCTTCGATTGCTTCTTTCCTTTTCTTCTTTTCTCCTTCCCTCTGTAATTTGCCTCATTTTGTCTCCCCTCGCACGGCAGCAGGACCCTTTGCATTACGCGGTACGACTGGACAGAAGGATTTCGTCTTCGAATGACGTAATCGGCGGTACTGTCTCGGAAAAATGGATCGAAGGGCAGGCGCTCTCGTCCTTCTCGTTGAACAAAGTGCTGAGACAACGCTGAAAGAAGGTGCACGGCACATACAGACACACGCAGCAGTTGGCCTAGAACAGGCAAAGAACCGCGATCGAGATTTTGGGAGGGCAATCGGGGAACGAGAGGCCAGAAAAGACATGGCCAGGCCGTGTGCGACCGACCACACACACCGGCCGGAAAACGCCAAGACAATGGACAACTCACTGCTGAGGCCAGAACCGCGCCTGGTCTTGCCATCGGAGCACGAGGTAGCATGCTCCATTTTGCATTCCAGTCACTATGTTGGCTCTTTGCCATACATTCTGTGTGTTTGTAATCTTGCTAGCAGGCACGGCGTTCTCTAAGTGTCCGGAGTGAGACGTTTATCATTCTTCGTGACAGTTGAAGGCTCCGCCACGCTGGGCTGCCCGGCGAGACTGTGTATTGATCTTCTTGTTGTGCAGAAGGTTTAGTGGCCGGGGTGCCTGTAATGACTTCATTTCACTGTCCACTAGCGGGGGAAACACACCGCGTTTGGTGCTACGGGCCTGCTGTTTAGTTGAAACGAGCAGGTCGTTAGCGGTTTAGGCCAATACATGCGTGTTCTCGCACGGTGTTGCACTTTCCTCTTCGACGATTTATAACAGCACTATCCACCTGCTGATAAATCTGGAGGAAAAGAGGAGGCCGGAGGACGTCGTCGGGAAGGAGACAGAGACTGTCGTACGCGTGACTTGGCCCTTCCCGTTTTTGAACTTCTTCGCTCAAATGGTCAAGGCCAACGTTCTGCGGTGTATTTCTTCTTTCCAACCGTCCGTTGCAGGCTTCCTTGCTATTTCTTGTTTTGATGCAGGTCGGTCGCTTTTCGTATCGTTTCCGTTGCCTTGTTCGCAACACAATCTAAAAAGTGCACCGTTCTTCTTGTCTGGTCGTACCCTCTCAATAGAGGAACCGATCGTCTCCTATTCAAGGCTAAAAGGAAAGAGCAGAGGTGAGGAGTAATAGAATCCGATTGCCTTATTGGCCAAACATTGCGAAAGGAAGGAGCAAATCAGGTCTGCCATTCTCACCAGAGGCAAGAGCAGCTCAAGAACTTGTGGTCGAGGGAACTAAACTTGGTTCAACTACGTCATGATGTGAAAGCGCACGGAAAGTGTCCAAGCCCAGGACCAGAAGTACGCCGCAGCCTCGTCTCTCGCAAACCAAGGGCCTGCCGCTAGCTCTCAGGATTCTAATCCCAATAGCCAGAGCGTCGTGCCCGGGCAGCCGGGTCACCGTTGTGGAGTTCAAAATCTGAAGCCTTGTGATAGTCACTGACTATGCCATGTGGAGGCCTCGACCGAATCTGTAACGGTCGGTCGACAAAGCGAAAACGGGGAATGCTAACCATGTCAAAGGAAAAGCGACACGAGGACATAGTGTCGGTCCCAGGCGAGGTTGCATTTGTTGACTATTTACAAATGCAGTGATCCCACGTCGCTACGGTAATTAACAGTCACCTCGCCGGGCATCGCGGCGTCTGAGATACATGATGAACGAGGCCAAAGTAGTATGTCGTATTGGGTGCTATGTAATGCAATGTGGCCCCTATCGTATTCGTCTCGTGTAAAACATATTAAGCGTTGTGTCGCGCTCCTGGTCAATTCGTAAAAGGAACATGGAGCGTCTGGGCCGTTTGCCTCGCATCGGTCTCAGTGTGTCGGCAGGCGACTGGGCGTCGACCACATCCAGCCTCTGACTTCACTACAGTCTTGGGCCCTCGGCTCCGTCGACGGGCCGCACCCGGAATCCGTGCCGCGGCGCGTGCAGCATCACCTTGGGCGCATCCTCACTGGCCGCCACCTCGATGACCACCTCGTCCGGGCAGAACCGTACCAGCTTGCCCACGTCCTTGTGCGACTTGCCCGTGTCCGTCGGCCACAGCACAACGTGCTTGCCGATGACAAGGCTTGCCGCACGCGCCACGGGATCCTTGGTGTCGATGTAGGACGACACGTTGGACAACGGGTCCCAGAACTGCGCCGTCAGCACTTCCTGTGCCGCCTTGTCGCCGTCGATCCTCTTCGACAGGCCCGGCTGGTCCTTGCGCGCAGCACGAACCACGCGACTGAAACGGTCAATCCAGGCAAACAGCTTGGGGAACTGCACCGCATCTAATCCGGCCTCCTCCGAGCCGCTGCCATCCAAAAACGCGCCCGGCATGCTAGCCAACCAGTGGAAGGGCCAGATGGCCTCGATGTCGGCGATCGAGGGTCCCTCGGTGCTCAAGATCCATGTGCGGCCGTCGGCGAGCAGCGTCGTCTCGAGAATCGAAGCAGCATGACGGACCTCGGCGAGGGCCTCGGCACGTTCGAGTGCCTTCGAGGCAGTCGGCTCCTCGGATGCGGTGGGCGATGAGGCGCCGGACGGCGCAGACACAGGCTTCTTAGGCCGCGGGTTGAGCGGACCACCAAAAAAATCCATGCGGTCCTTACCGAAGACGGGGTCCTTCATGGCCGGCACATCACCGGGGATCAGTCGAGCGGCTTCGAGAAACAGACCGCTGTCGTTGGTCAAGACGTTGAGCAGGCGCTCCAAAGCCAGTGCCTCCGCGCTGGCCTTCTTGTCGCTAGGATTGAGCCCGAAGCCGAGGGGCGGCCGCACTGCGGGCGAGGAGGGCTGGATCAGTTCAAGCTTGCGCATGATTAGGCGGGTGTCGAGGTAGACGTCACGGCCAATAGCCACAATGGGGATTCGACGATGCCGAACGCCAAGACGGGCAATGTCCGGCCGGGGCATGGTCGCCGGTTGGATCTGATTTTGTCAGTATCATATTGCGCCGTAGCCTGCCCTCGGTGCTTGTCATCCAGCCCCTGTCCTCCTAGCTCTTTCTCATTCTATCACATATCGACCTTTCTCTTTTTTTTACTTACACATTCGTTGTACGGCAGCCCTCGGAGGAGCAGATACCACTGGATGCGGCGCGCATACGGCGAGTACGAATAGTGGTAGAAAACGATGTTCGGTGTGTCGGTCATGGTGGCTTTGTTTTTGGATTGTTTTGGTTTATTGGTTTTGTTGTTGATGAAGGAAACCATTCAATTGCTTTGTTTACTGTCGATAAATATGTGCCGACAACAGGAAGAGTCATGTTGTCATTGCCGCCTCGCGCCTTCCCCATCCTTTGCCCTGGCGAAGTCGGAGCTTGGCCTGGCCTGTCCAATTGTACCGAGGCACGTTGGCGGGAAGGAGCATTGCACGGACCCGCGGCCACGGATAAAGGCGGGGGCAAATCGAATAATTCGAGAGAGTAGACTAACATAGCAGGGTCGACTGGACACTGATCTTACAGCGATTTGGCAGGTTAGAAGCCCCAAATTTTAACGCACGCCCACTATATTGTCGCTGTAGCGCGCCCCAAACGCGTGGCCGCAACATCTTACCATATTCTGGAAGACGATTTGAGTGTAAACAAATCTTGGCAGAGAAAGACACTTGAATAAGCTTTTGCGACTCGCTTTTGAAGGCATAAAATAGGCCAGCCGCGTCTTGGCTTCCAGCATCATAATTGCTAGTGTCTGTTGAGAATCCCATCCTAAATTAATCGGTGCACAGGTTGAGATACCGATGTCGAGATCTTTTGTTTACATCTGGATTCATACGTACATAAATGAAAGATAGAAGAATATGAGACGGACATAGCGAAGTCCAAAGCATAAGGCATTTAGAAGGGCCGTGGCGGTCATACCGACTCGTCGGTGTCAGCTCACCCCCGGACTCTTCGGGGCATCGAAGTCGAAGACTTAAAGCAACCCGTAAGTTGAGCAGCAAAGGAGCCTCCCACCGGCATCCGTCGCAGAGACATTCAGCCTTGTTAATAAACAGCCCGCCTGGAGCCGTCACTAACATGCAGCAACTGACAATCTCCACTTGTGTACATCTTTTAAGTGACATCTACTGGCTTGCCAATACCGGCGGCGGAATGAATGCGGAGTCTGTCCCGTCCTTCTCCAGAGCAGCGCAATTGACAGCGAGACTTGACGGAGTGCTCGTCATCTTCGCACAGATAGTCCATCGACAGGCCTTTGACAAAATTTCACTTGCGAGGACGAACCAGGAGGGGAGCGACGTGATCTAGTCGGGGAAACATATCGCAAATACATGCAACTAAAGCAATTGTCTCACCGACGGACGACAGCTAGATTGGCCGCCAGACTGGGCATCCGTAGTATGGTTCGCCGACGCCTGCATCGATACGAATGTCTCTGGATCCAACATGGGATGCGTAGAATGGCGAATGAGATCGTTGGAAAAGCAGATGCGACATGCGCCTGCCCTCTCTGTCCAACTGAGACGGCGCTCCGTTCTTGGCATTCCTTCCTCGTTACTCCCCGGCAATATGTAGGAAAGAGTGCATCGCGCCTGCCACCGCTGATAAGCTCGTTTTCACCACTATGTTTTTTCCCCTCCGGCGGCAAGTGGTGCCGCTCGTGAAAAAATGGGAGAAATAAAACCAGAGGGGCGAAGTGGATCGCAAAATGAAAGTAGTGCGCGGGAGCCTCTTAACAACTGCCTATTTAGGAAACCTCGCGTTTGGTCTGATTTATTTTGTTAGATAATAGCGACTGCCTCGCAGGGGCTTCACTGCCCTCTATCGTAGCTTCTGTGTCGGTCGTTGCGCCTAAAGCAGCAAGACAGCAGGTGCTCCGGCTCCGTTTCTTTATTTTATTTTTTATTTTTAACAAAAAAACTTTCTCCACGTCTTTGGCCCTGTCAACGTGTCTCTATGCAGCATCTTCGTACTCGATAAGAGCGGACATCGACACATACCCACCCGCACGTTTATATCTTCCCTCATACCAATGTACTTTGTGAGCCGGTGTAAATTTATTTGTTTGTATCTCACCTTTGCAAACTTTCTGCACTGAGTGAATGTCGCGTGTCGGTCAACACGAATTGCGGTTGGGGAAGGGCCTTCTTTGAGAGAAATAGCGGAACCATCCCTCGTGCTGATTTCAGCACCCGTTCGCACTTGCTCTCGGGAGCGCCGATCTCTTTTGCAGTTTGGCCACCTCTTTGTGGCTCCCATGTACCATGCGGCCGGTGGGCACGAAACGCCGCTTGTTATCTCTCAGCCCCGGACAAATGAAACTTTTTTTTCTTCGTCCAACCGTGAGTGACCTCGTGCAGCCTCTGGCTCTGTCGCGTGCGTTTCAGGGTCTGTATGCAGACTTCTCGATCCTTTCTAGTGCCGTGAGAACCGTCAAAATACGGGTTTTTAGTCTCATTGATCGTTCTTGCCTTTTTTTCGTCTCGGTGGTTATCGTACCTTCCCCCGCCGTGTAAGTCGCCTAAGCATATGGCAGACTGCTGATCCTCCCTCCTTCCCCCGTCTGTAAATATCCATAATTATTTTGGTTAACCTACGTTACCTTGCTCCTTCCTATTTCTGTTCTTCAGATTTTGAGTTTATACTTCCTTCCCTCCTTCCCCCGGATTTCTCTCTCCCTTCTCACCCTTTCTCTCTTTCCTTCTTTGTTCGCCGGCTGGGATTCTTTTCTTGCTTCTCCCTCCTCTACTCAACATAGAAGAGGCTGGCGCTGTTCTGTCAGTGGCGAGAAAGATTTTTTTGGTCTACCAACAACACGTACCATGGCGGTATACAACACCGTCGAGGAGGAGAAGCGCGTCGGCGTCGAGGAGAATGTCCTCCCGGCGGCCGACAACTCCGACAAGATCGGCGACGTTACCGAGTCGTCTTCGGACAACGACCTGCCCTCCTACTTGCGCTCGTCCAACGCCGTTTCACGCTTCTTCGCCACGCTCCGGTCCTACGAGAACGCCCTCGACCGCAAGATCGGCGTCGAGAGTGCTGGCATCACCCGCCGCCGGCCGGAGGACCGCGACCCCAACTATGCCCGCTGGTCCAACCAGGCCGTCATGTATCTGCTCTGGATGAGCACCACCATGAACATTAGCTGCTTCACGACAGGCTTTCTGGGCTGGGAGTTTGGCCTTGACCTGAGCCGCACCGTCGCCATCATTGTCTTTGCCACCCTACTCGGCAGCGCCGTTACCGGCTGGTGCGCCACCATGGGCCCCGGCATGGGCCTGCGCCAGGTCTCCATCTCGCGCTACTCCATGGGCTGGTGGCCGTCCAAGGTCATTGCCGCGCTCAACGTCGTTGAGCAGGTCGGCTGGTCGTCTGTGGGCAGCATCACCGGCGGCCTGGCGCTGTCGGCCGTGTCGGACGGCAAGATTGGCTCGCAGCTGGGCGTCGTCATTGCTGCCGTCATTGGCTTCGTGATTTCGTTTGTCGGCCTGCGCGCCGTCTTCACCTACGAGAAGTTTGCTGGCCTCGTCTTGTTTGTGGTGTTCATCATCATGTATGGCGAGACCGCGCACTATGGCGATACCAGCATCAAGACGGAGCTCACGGGCGCCACTCTGTCCGGCACGGCCCTGACGCTGTTTGCTGTTGTCTACGGCTCGTCTGCGTCGTGGTGCTCCATTGTGGCCGACTATTACGTCGAGTATCCCGTCAACACCTCCAAGCTCAAGGTCTTCCTCCTCACTACCGCTGGCATTTGTAAGTAAAGCGAGGAGTAAAGCATTTCAAATACAGAATCAAAACAGAAATGGGAGGACGACGAAAAAGACGCGCTCCATGCTGACAGTCTCTTCCATTCCAGGCCTGCCTACGTGCTTTGGCATGTGCTTGGGTGCTGCGGTGGCCTCGTCGCTCGACAGCAAGCCCGACTGGTCGGACGCCTACGACGAGGGCATCGGCTTCCTCATCCAGATCATGCTCCACCCCAAGGGCTTCGCCAAGTTCCTGCTCGTCATCCTCGCGCTCTCTGGCATTGCGATGAATGCCGTCGCCCTCTACAGTGCCGGTCTGTCCGTGCAGCAGTTTGCCCGCCCGCTGGCCGCAGTGCCCCGCTTCATATGGACCGCCCTCATGTTCGTCGCCGTCATCCTGCTCGCGCTCGTCGGCCGCGACCACCTGCTGTCGTTCCTCGAGAATTTCCTGTCGCTGCTGGGCTACTGGAACACGTCGTTTTTCATCATTATCTTCCTCGAGCACTATCTGTTCCGCAAAGGCTTCTCCGAGGGCTACGACAACTACGACCTCGAGTCGTGGAACAACCCGAAGCGCATGCCCTTTGGCTGGGCCGGCGGCCTCGCGTTCGCGGCCGGTATTGCCGGTTGCGTTCTGGGCATGAGCGAGACGTGGTACGTGGGCGTGCTGGCACGCAAGATTGGCGACACGGGCGGCGACATTGGCAACCAGCTGTCCTTTTTATTCACCTTTGTCGTCTACATCCCCGCCCGCTGGGCCGAGTACAAGTACACCGGTCTGTAAAAGAAATGGTGGAAGAGAAAATGACAAAGGGGAATAAAGGCAGAGGGAGTAGAAATTGGAACTGAGCAAGAGAGACCATAAGGAGAACGGGGAACTTGGAATCCTGCAGCCACCGATAGGATACGGCTTATTTTTCTGCTTGTCTTGAATATATTTTCTGGAACACTCTTTCCTAGCGATACTCGATACTGTACTATCTGAGGCCCGGCCTCGGGTGCAAGTGTATCCAAAATGACCCAACGGACTCGGTTGGATGTGGCCAGGGCGCCATATCAAGAGGGGACAGGACCATCTAAGATGCATCCGAGATCCCGTCAGCACACCGTTCCCTACATCGGCGGTTCATTTGTATGGGGGGCTGGAGGAGGGCTGACCGGCACAGCATTTTCGCGCATCACGAAAGGGTGCATGGCCAAAGGTGAGAACCATGGCTTCAGTGCAGCGGCTACGGCTCCGCCCTTGCTTTGCATACGCTCTTTGATGCCTGCTGCGGCTCCCGGCTTGTTTTCAAGGTCAGGGCGCTCTTCACAAGGCAGTTCCATCATGTCCAGGGGTGGTAGCCGGAGGATCGCCCGCCGGCCAGTGCGAAGATCGCGCAGCGACGGTCCACAGATGCCGAGGATCGCGTGCAGGACCAGCGACACGAACGCCAGGATCGACGCCGTCCATACCAGCGCCAGCATGGTGTTGCCCACGTCGACAAAAATGTTGAGCTGGTTGATGGCCGAACCCGCCAGCCGGTACGCGAGCACCACGGCCGTGGCCAGGGCCGAGCCAATAAAGAGACAGAGCGCCGTCGCGGCCGCGAGAATACCGATGGGCACGCTCCACCAGCGGGACAGCAGCACGAGCGGCGACAACAAAACGAGCAGGCCCGACACGATCGTGCCGACGAGGTAGGTACCGAACATGGCCTGCGAGACGTAGCGGATGATATCGAGAACGGTCTGGACGCGGATGGGCAGTGGTACCGTGCTCGTATTGAGGAGCTCGCTGAAAATGATGCCGACGGGGTTGAACCAGTAAAAGGCCTGGGGACGCGAACATTTGGAAATGGCGGACAAGCGGTCACCCTCACAGTATCCCCAGAGGCCCGACTGGTAGTAGTTGCGCAAGCCTAGGCTCTGGGAGAGGGCATGGGCCCAGGCAGGGTCGGTGGTGTTGGTGCCAGGGATAACGCTGTCGTCGAACAGCTGCGACAGGTCGAAGCGGAAGAGGAAGAGGCTGGTCGAAGTCCGGCTGGTATTAGTGCTTCCTGTTTGGACCTGCATGCATGTCAGTGTTTGCTGCAATCCCCCTTTCGGCTTCTCCGCTTTCTGCCGTTTCAGCCCTCTCTGCAGGATACTATGTTACAAGTGTACTTACCACGATGAGCAGAACAGCGGCAACAAGGTATAGCACGCAGCTGATGCCGACGAGGTAGCGCCGAAGCCGGGTAGCTATCCAGATTTCGCCTCTTGTCGGCATAGCAGCTTCCAATTCATCAGCAGCGCTCCAGGCCCGAGCGCCCGCCGTAGAGCCGATCCACGGCGTGAACATGGACGCACCATGGCCAGGACGATCCCCGTGACTGCCATCGTGTGCAGCATGGCATGACGTGCCGTTACGAAGCCGTATGGAGGCGTTGATATTGTTCGAGATCGGCGAGGCATAACTTAGCTGGACCGAGTCCTCGTCGATGGGCAATCGAGCACCCGCCGAGATTTGTAGGTCGGTACCATCCGTTCTGGCGGCCAGATGGCCCACATCCCCAACGGGACTCGTAGGACTAGCAGGACTTGCGCGAGTCACGGTGCTATTACTGGTGTAGTAGCTGCGCGTACTTGAAGATCTCACCGCCTCTGAGGTCCCTGGGGCTGCGTCTACCGGAACTTTTCTGGCGGACAGCCGAGGTGTGCTGTTGGTAGCGAAATGGCTCATGGCCGGAGGTAGAAGGATATCTTGTAGGTCGTTGTTACCAAGACAGGTCGACGTCGAGGGATGAGGTGGATGATGCGGATTCGGATGAAAAAGATTCGGCAAACACGCCGTCGCCGTCCCACATACTGGTCACCAGGAGATGTAAGGATCAGTGGCAAAAGACGGAGAGAAGAAGTCCGGAAGTAAATATACAGGATAAGTATACTGGCGAAAGAGAAAATGCCTTGTGGTGCTGTCGGTGAGGGGAGAGATGCACGACAACGTCAGGTGGGTGGATGTAGGTCAGTTGGCCTCATGAGGCTATCGACAAAGGCTGGAGCTGCCAGCAGCAGCCATTTTGGCCGAGGAAACCATGGCTCCTAAAGACGGCAAGTAACACAGCTGCGAGCAACAGACCGCGTGAGGAAGTAACAAGTGACTGTGGCGGTTGGCACTTGCATCGCGGTTGGCAGGTGTTCGTGAAGGCAGGTGCGATGGTGTAGCCGACTGTGTTCCTGATGGCAAGACCACGTGCATTTGCAAGAGCCGAAAGGCTGAACGCGTGATGCACTGAAGGTATCTGACGATGTCCGAAGAATACATTTTATTAAGGGCGGTTTTGCGTACAATTTGAGTTGGATTTGTTCCAAAATAAAAGTGTTGATTTTTTTGAGATTTGCTTTTAGATCTATTTTTTTTTATACGTTTTCCTTTGTTTATTTTCCTCTTTCATCAAATAGGCACCATAAATTGTTCCGACAAAACAGAAAAATATCAACTAAACCGGACATAGACTGCCTTCATCTGCAGTTGATTTCGGCCGTCCAAATGCACATATGTCAAATGACACGGACGGCATCCCGTGCCTATTGGCTGAGACTGCACGAGGCTGCGGCGGCAGATCGTGTGCCCAGCCGATTCCGCTGCATGCAACCCAAGCCTAGATCGATATATGAACTGCCCACCCTCCAAGTTTCGCTACCAACCAAGATAAGGCGAACACCAAGCATGGCCACGTTAGGTATTGTGTGGAGGAAATGACATCTTGTGTCGCGATGTTCCGGCGGCACGTGGCTTCCGCCATCTGATGTCTCCGACCGCTCCTTCCCAACATATTGGCCAGGCACCTTCCCTTTCAGATGAGCATCACTGTCGAAATAGTAACTGGCAGGAAAACGGCAAAATGGCAGCTTCAAAACTTTTCTCCGGACAGCGACCAAAGCATCAGACAATAGCAATTGCAATCTCGGCCAGCCACCCTTCGCCTTGCGCTATCCACCTACATCCTCTTGACCTTTGCTCGATGCCCGTTCGTCTGCTAATGTCAACACATACATTGTGGCCGCCCTTGATCCCCTATTTCCGATCCTAAAATGCGTCTTTTATTCGCTCCCTTTTGTCTTGTCTTCTTGCTGACCTCTACGCAGGCCAGGAGCACAATCCGCGGCTCTCTGCCTAATCTCCAGCAAGCCCTAGGCCAACTCGTGAAGGACTCCAACAGCTCGAATGCTCCTCCCAACGTGACCACCACCATTCCGTTGACCAACATCACAGTCTGCAATGGCTATGCCGAACTCTGCTCGCGCAAGTACAGCAACGTCACCATGGTCGGCGCCCACAACTCGCCGTTTGTGCAGCGCAACAACCTCGCGGCCAACCAGAACCTCAAGGTGACGCAGCAGCTCGACGACGGCATCCGGTTCGTGCAGGCACAGATGCAGTTCCCGGTCCAAGACAACGGGACCGGGCCGCACTTTTGCCATACCTCGTGCGAGCTGCTGGACGCGGGGCCCATTGCGGGCTGGCTGACCGAGGTGCGCACATGGGTCGACGCACACCCGCAAGACTTTGTCACGATCCTGCTGGGCAACGGCAACTACTCGGCCGCCAGCACGTATGCGCCGCACATTGAAGCGAGCGGGCTGGTGCCGTACGCGTTCGTGCCGCCGCCCACCACCACCACCGCCGCCGGCCTCGCGCTGGACGCCTGGCCGACCCTCGGCGAGATGCTCGCGGACGGCAAGCGCGTGCTCATGATGCTCGACTACAAGGCCAATCAGACGGCGTACCCCTGGCTGCTCGACGAGTTTGCGTACCTGTGGGAGACGCCCTTTGACCCCGTGGTGACGTCGGTGCCCGTCACCGAGACGCTGCCGTGCCCCGTGCAGCGCCCACCCGACCTGCCGCCCGGGGTCGCCAACAGCACGCTCTACCTGATGAATCATAATGTCAACCTGGCGGTGTCGCTGCTAGGCCAGAATTTCACGGTGCCGGCCCTGGCGCTGCTCAACCAGTCGAATGCGGCGACGGGCATCAACAGCCTGGGCGCGGCGGCCGAGGTGTGTGTGGACACGTGGGGCCGCCCGCCGCTGATTCTGAACGTCGACTACTACGACCAGGGCGCGCCGCCCGGGTCCGTCTTTGAGGTGGCGGCAAAACTCAACGGTGTCTCGTACGAGAATACATGCTGCGGGAAGACGGCCCTCGAAGTGGTGTCGGGTGCCGTGCATCGCAGTATTCCTCTCTTGTTGTTGGTCACCATCACGGTCGCCGCCGTTATGGGGCTATGGCTGTGGTGAGCTGTGGTGGACTGTGGTGGGCTGTGGTGGGCTGTGGTGGGCTGTGCCTGTTGTTTACGTTTCAAGCATGCAGGATGTTTAAGAGTTAGTTTGTATTTCAAGTAGCTTTTATTAGTATTGAGTGTATGCCCGAGATAAATAATAAAAGACCAAACGACGACGGAAGTCGCGAAGAATATGTACATGAAGTGAACAGAAAGCAAAGACAAAAGGCATCACATTATCGTAAAAGTAAGACTGGATATAAATCGACGGAAACATAAAGAAAAGAAACACAAAGCAAAAGCAAAACAAAAGGAAAGCTGGGAACGCCCTTCACGCCGTCACGCGACGGCCTGGCCTTCTGGCACGACGACAGGTCGCCGGCCAAACGTCCAACCGAGCACGCGCATCACACCAAACGTCCGCCGTGTCGTTGTCGTTGTCGTCGCCGACGCGTGGCTCCTTTTCCGCAGCAGCGACGTGTTGTTGGTGTTGGCCGTTGTCGTGCTGGACGAGGCCGAGGCTGTCAATGCCGCAGCCTCGTGCTCGTCCATCAGCCGCCGCCGCTCGGCCCTCTGCCATAAAATCTCGCGACCGATCTGCACAAACACGTCGGTGACGTTGTCGCCGGTTTTGGCGCTGGCCTCGAGGAAGAACGAGGGCGACGACGCCGAGGGAGGGTGCGGATGCGGGTGCGGCTGCAGACTAGGAACCGAGGGCACCGCTGAGGGCACAGCCGGGGGCACAGGTAAGGGGGGGATCGACGGGACGGGGGGCACGGCTGTGGATGCTGACGGCGACGGCACGGCCGCTGCTTTGCTGCCGTCGATCCAGGCCACACGCCGGTCGCTGTCGTCGGCGTCGCTCTTGGTGCCGACGAGAAGGAGGGCAAAGGGCCGTGCGGGTTTCGACTGGGCACGAGCGCCACCCATGGACACGGAGCGCGCATGATGGGACTGTTCTTCGTCTTTCTGTTGCTGTTGTTGCTGTTGTTGCTGTTGTTGCTGTTGTTGCTGCTGTTGCTGCTGCTGCTCCTTTTTGTAGCTTCGGAAGCGCATCGATTTTTTCTTGGGAACGGCCCGCTTGGACGTCCTCGGCCGGGTCTTGTCGTCGCCGCCCTTTGTCTTGTCTGCCTGTTGTGCGTCGTGGACGCCCATGCCCCGTTCCTGGCGCAGCCGGTCGTAGAGGCGCCGCGCCTGCTGAAACGACGCCGGGTTGCAGACGTCATAGACGACAATGGCTGCCTCAGTAATGGCCAGCGCTTGCTCGAGCATCATGGCGGCAGGTGTCACTGTGGGTGAAGGCGAGCCGCGGCCGAGTTTGCCATTATTGCCATTGTTTTTGCTGCTGCTGCTGCTATCGTTCGGCGCCCCTGTGGCTTGTGGATCTTCCTCTACCAGATGCTGGGAGGGCATCTCGAGGACGTCCATGTTGTACATGAGGTTGTCGATGCGCAGGGGCCGTCGTCCGCCGCGTACGAATCGGGGATCCGGTGGTGCACCGTCTTGGAATGAGCCATCGCAGAACTGAGAGTGGTTAGTTAGACGTGCGTAGTGAGGAGAGACGCGGAGCAGAATGGGTACGTACCCTCGTCAGGAGAGCCGTCTTGCCGACGCCTTTCGCGCCGATGAGGAGCACGCGAAAGTCACCGACAAAGGCGCGTGCGGCGGCGGTCTGCACGCGGTTGCCGCCATCCTGCTCGTCATCAAACTGGTCATGCCACGAGAAGATGGCCTTGAGGTAGCGAGCCTCGTCAGAGGTCCAGACCATGGAGCCCATGGTGAGGTGTGGTAGAGTGGAGTGAATCGACGGTGAAGTAGGAAACGAAAAAGTTAAAATGGTAAAAAAATAAAAATTATAGAAAATAAAGGGATTTGAGATTTGTGTAGGAGAGAAAGGCAAAACAAGACAAAAGGGCAAGATTCAGAGACGAGACACTGGCTGGAGACGTGACAGTTCCCAGTAAGGAAAACGGAGAGGGCAAAATCTGATATAGGAGGATGATCTTAGAACATAGCATTGAGGGTCTCTTAATAGAAGGAGTCTTATAATATGACGGAGAACACAGAGAAGGATGAAAGAGGGATGGATAATGAACAAGACAAGGCGAGTTGAGGCAAAGCAAATGAGAACGAGGCCCGGGAAAATGGACGTAAAAGAGAGAAGTAAGAATGGGGTGAAGTGAGCGTATGGTGATAAAATAGTGAGACGACTAGTAAAGATAGGAACAAGTGAAGAAAAGGGCCACAACGAGCAGGGATACACAGCAGACGAATGCACAATGTGTTGTGCCTTGCGTGACAATAATCATATAACAACCAGCGTACGAGACAATGAAGGGCACTGAGCAGGATCAACGGTTGTTGTGCACCTGTTGATTTGGTCGCTGTCTTGAAACAGCTTCCCTTGCTCTGTTGGCAAGGCAGGAGACGGGCAATGCGCGGGCAATGCGCGGGCTCAATTCTGCCAAATCGCAGATCGATCGTCGTTCGTCGCAGGTTGATCTTTGTTCTCTTGTTTTTCTTCTTCTTTAGAGCTATCCGAACAGTCCGGGCCGTCTCTTGTCTGATTGGGGTTGATATGATTTTGTTCTTTTCTTTTCTTTTCTTTTCTTTTCTTTTCTTTTCTTTTCTTTTCTTTTCTTCTTTTCTTTTTCTTTTCTTTTTTTGGCCTCCTTTCTTCTGTTCTATGTCATTGATTTTGTGCAGCATCTGAATGGGCAAGCTGATGGAGCCATTCGCAACGGGAGAGCCGCGGCCGCTCGCCGGCGCATGTACCACCGGCTAATCTAAAAGGGGTTAAAGAGGAAGCAGAGGACGCACCCTCTTCGTTGTTCGTTCCTCGACTTCGCTCCTTGTGGTGCATGGCATGGGGCTCGTCCCGCCAGGGACGTTGTTCCGATATTGGCGAGGCGCGGATGCTTGGAGTCGTAAAGTGCCCAGCATTTTTCCAGGGTCGTGGAATCTCGTGGCGAAGGCTGATTTGTGGAGGCAAATCCGTGAGGACGTGCGCGAGTGTATGTGAGTATGCTGCAGGCACACGGAGACTGTCCTCATGCCACAGTCGGGATAGGTGGCAGCAGCAGAACTCTATCCACATTGGAAAATAGGGGCAACAGAAGGAAAAGGTTGACATACTACGCCAGGATAACCTTATTTCGGGATCTGGTCGCGATAAATTCGCGATTTAGATGGCGACATGGTCTGCCGCGATTGGTGTATCCAGCCGTCTCCGTCTTTCATCCTCGATGGACGAAGCGTAGGTGTAAAGTTGCAAGGTGCCGTGTGTTTGTTCGATGCAGGTCTGGTGCCACAAATGACACGGCAGCAGAGAGTTACAGCAGGTGCTGTGACTGAGTACGGGGGCATGAGATATGAGACATGCAGCAGAATTGCACAAGGGCAGCGCTGCGCCGACAGAATGAAAGAAGACTTTGGGCGAATAGCAGAGTGGCTCGATCTGGTTGGCATTGTCGATGGCATCGTTTGCGAGGCCGCCGAGGGTTGTACAGGAAGCAGATTGCCGGTTCGGGCGTTTAGCGACGAGGATGGACAGATGGAGAAAGCACATAATGCGTAACGAAAAGAGAAGGACGAGAAAATGAGAAAAAAAAAAGATAAAATAAAAATAAAACCAACCAAATAAAGCAGATAAATCCAAAATATTGCACGCCTACCAAATGCCCCAAGATGCTTTGCATACCATCAATAGATGGACGCTGATGAACGCCGACCAAGGCAACGAAATGACCAGGCGGTGTCAAGCCCCTCTCCTACAATCACCTCTTCTTCTTTCCTGGCTCGGCCACGGCCACAAGGCCTGCCTGCACAAACGCATCGCGCGCCGCCTGGTTGATCAGCGCGAATCGCCGCGGGCCCAGCTTGTGCCCGCCGTACCAGCGCGTGACCACGACGACGACGTTCCACAGGCCCATCAGCTGCATCAGGTGCAGCAAGCGCCCGCCGGCCGCCGTTTCGCCGTCGTCGTCGCAGTCTTGGTACGTTACGCCCGTCCCTTCATCTCGTATCCGCCACGCCGTCATATTGTGTGTTGCCGTCCGCACGCGTCGGTCCGTGTCCTTGAGGTGCTGGATGAACGCGGCTGCCTGGGCAGGCGAGCGCACGGCTGCACAGCGCGCGAGAAACGTCGACTTGAGCTCGACGACGGGCTCGGCCGTGACCCACGGCGGCGGTTCTGTCAGATGCTGTGCTGTTGACGGTCGTGGAGATGGTGGAGATGCAGCCCGGTCGTCGTCCGCAGCTGCTTCGTTGTGCACGCCCTCCTCTACCTCCTCGCCCTTCTGTCGGAGAAATTCCTCGACGGCGTCAAATAGGCAGACTTGGCCTTCCTGGAATGCCGTGGCCAGAGCGGCACCAAACTGCTCGGCGTCGTGTGCTGCCGCACCGGGTCGCCGGTGGCCCGCCGTGTCGCCCACGCTTTGCACACCGAGAACGACTGGCGGGTCTGGGCACGCAGGATAGGCAGGCGGAAACCAGAGACGCAAGCTCATACGATGCGCCGTCGAGGCTCCCGTGGTACCGTCTGTGCCATTGCCGTCACCAGCGCTAGCACCAGCCACGTCGTCTGCAGACCTGGGAATGGCCAGATTGGCGAGCGTACCACTGCCATCACCCCCGCCACCGCCGCTGTGCTCGCCATCGGCAAGCACGAGCGTGCCGTCGCCGTAGATGGAGTTGATGGCCTCGACCTCGTCGGTGAGATCTTCAGAGGGTGGCATTGCGCCAGGCGAGGTTGTCTTCAGTCAGGCTTGCCTGTGGTGTGTGACATGTATAAAACACTCTCAATTGAGTCATACCTGGCCGCGTCACGTCGGCTCCAGGGTGACGTCGAAACTCGGCTGAATGTGGTGATGTGATGCGAGGAGTGAATAGGGTCGGATGTGGGGGTGGATTTTTAGCGCTTGGGGGGCTTTGGCGCCACTCCGACAGTGTGTTCCAACGGCCGTACCTGGCGGCAGCCTTATCGCCGCCGCACCGCACGTTAGTCCCTGGCTCCTTCCTGCGTCGTCCCTCTGGAGTGCACCTTCCCGATACGTTCATCCCTCAACAGCTCGTTTGTTTGACTTTATCTGAGTCTCAAATCCAGAAATCTCCAACTAAAACGTCTCCAAATTACAACTTCATCTTCTCCTCTCACCCCCCGGACTCGTGATCCTTTATCGCGAACAGTCTAGTCATGGCCACTGCCGACGAGGATCAGGCCGCTGTGGCCTCCGATGCCGCCGACGGCACGTCCTATGCTTTTGTCTACGGTACGTTTCGTATTTATGTGTTTTCCAGCACCTATTTTTACTGACCCTTTTAGGTACTCTAGTAAGTCGCCCTCAGTCGTTGATTATGGCATCAAGCGCGCCCCTGCCGTCTCTGACCACTACAGATGGCACCTGAGGTCTTCTTCACCGTCTGCTTCCGCCTCGCCCAACCGCCACCGGCTCTCGTCCGCGAGTATGTGTTTCGCAACGCTGTCCTTCCCGGCTACACCCGCCACCGTGTCCGGTACCAGGAGTACCCGGGCATCGTGCCGGACGACGCAGAGGGCGCCAGCGTCCGCGGTATTCTCATTGGCGGCGTCACGCCGGCCAACCAGCACCACCTCGACGTATTTGAGGGCTCCGAGTACGAGCGCCGGACGGTCGATGTTGTCTTGGACGAGGACACCAGTAATGGTCAGACGACCGAAACGACCGAAACGACCGAAAAGACCGAAAAGACTGAAAATACGAAGCAGAAGAAAACAGTCAAAGCGCAGGTGTACGTGTACAAGTACCCCGACGGGCTCGAGCGCCGCGAGTGGGATTTTGACGAGTTTCGTCGCGAGAAAATGCACAAATGGGCGCGGGCCGACTACACTTTTGAAGGTGCGTCCATGTCAGCTGCCTGGAAGGCCATGAATGCCAAACGGGCCCCAATGAGTTTTATAGACGCCGTACTCGGGACTCGCCTTGAAATAGTGACCAAACAACTGTTTGCTGACATCGACAGGGTGCGATCCAAACGATCCGGCCACCGTGGCGGCTTAGGAAGCACGACATGGCGCCAAAGACAAAGCATAATTTGACATGGCAGGAGAGAATTGAGAATTTTGAGAATTTTAAGAAGTGAGAGAGGATACACATAGGAGACGGTGCACAGGAGACGATGGCACTGCGTTGAAGCAATCATTCCATTGCCAGGGAAGACATGAAAGCTGGAGAGGTGATGTGATTGGCGCATGGGCAAGCCATTGCTTTCGTTTATTTAAATGCATTCCGGGGTGAACAAACGCAGCAATTAACCTCAACGTCCATTTTCTTCAAGCTCCAACTCTCGGTGTAGGTAACACGTGATATGTCACGTGTTAACAGTCTCCAAATACGGCTGCCTACTCGGGAATTCGGCCGGTCTTCGGTCGTACCTTCCCGTCCACAAGAGAAAACGGATGGATTCAGGGGTTGTTTGTTTTGTATTTTGACTCTTTTTAGGTTCTAATTAGTACTTTTGTTTTGGAGACCATCCGCCCACAATGGCTTCCGACACACGAGAGCGCCAGCGCCGCCGAAAGATCGTGTTGGCCTGTGAGCCGTGCCGCGAGCGCAAGACACGCTGCGACGGCCGCAAGCCCATCTGCTCGTCATGCGAGCACCGCTCTCTCGGCCTAGAGAAATGCATTTATACGGTTGGCAATGCGCGCACTGCGAGCAGCGACGAGTGAGTTTTGAGTCTCGGCAGTCTTCGGATCGTTTCCGACTTTTGATTTCCGCCCGCTGCACCGTCTGTTGCTAACACTCCCAGCTACACAAAGGCCCTGCATGAGCGCATCCGCCACCTAGAACATGCTTGTGCTCTGTATGGAATTGAGGTCAATTCCGCCGGGCGAGTGAGCTTGCTGTCCAACAGCCGGCTGCGGCCGCCCATGTCGGCCTCGTCCTCGACGGCTACCAGCCCGGTGATGCTGTCGGGCGGCCGGCGTGGCGGTGTTGCGGACCAGCAGCCGTCTGTTACGCCACCCAATGTATCCGCAACAGGGAAATCGGGCACCTCTGACATGACGTCTCCAGAGCAAATGGATCCGGAGGATGCCACAGGTGTAACGGCTATGGGCACTGTGCTGTCTGAAGAAGACCTGGAAGGCGAGGGCGCCATTGATTCCTTTTACGGCCGGTCATCGGCGGCTTCGTTCCTCAAAGAAGCAGCCAGCGCGTTACCGCAGAGACAAAATTGGAGTGGCGCAAGTACAGGTTCGGGGACCAGTACCACCGCCGCCACCACGTCGCAGTCTAGCTTCTTTGCAGGTCGCGGCCCCACATCAGCCCCGTCGCCAGTCCGGCCACTGCCGCATCAGCCCCCGCCTCCTCCGCCAGTCATGGCGCCGCCGACGCTCAGCTTCACTGATGTTGACCGGTTCACCTTGCCTCCTCGTGCCCTCGGTGACCACTTGATCCAGCGCTTCTTCAGCCGCATATTTTACCAGTATCCCTTCTTCGACCGCGAAGCCTTTGAGCACGCATACCAGAGACTGTGGCAGGTCGATGACCCGGCAACACGTCCCCAAATTGCTGCGCAGCAACAGAAATTCGACGGACTGGGTCTGGGCAGCAGCGAGGCCGGTCCCGACAGTATCATATTCCACTGCGCTCTCAACGCCATCTTTGCTCTCGGCTGCTGTTTCTCGGACCTGCCGCCGGCCGAGCGCGCCGCCGCCATCGACGTCTTTGGAAACCGCTCCAAGACCTTTGTCGGACTTGAACTCATCAACTACAACAATCTCGGCGTGGTCCAAGCCATGCTGGTCATCTCTCTCGTCTTACAAGGCACACAGGGGATACCCCAACCGCTGCTGGATCGCCGTCGGCATGGCCTGCCGCGTGGCCCAGGGTATTGGTCTGCACACGGAGGAGACCAGTCCGAGCCGGCGGTTGCGTGGTGAGCGTATGCGGTTGATGCGTCAGCGGACGTGGCACGGCTGTGTCGTTATGGATGTGTAAGTCTTACCGTTTGTGATGCCTTTCTTTTTTTTAAGCTGACCTTTTCAGTCTCGTGAGCATGACCTTTGGTCGGCCTCCCATGGCGTCTAGTTTGTCGATTGCACCGGAGATGTTGAATAAGACCCCAGATTCTGCTAGCCCAGAATCGCTCAGGCTAGCTTTCTATTACGAAGGCGTCAAACTCAGTGTAATTCTCGAAGACATCCTGCAGCGCATCTACAAGCCATGGCTGACACGGGACGCCAATAACACAAACCACAACGGAAACACCACTAGTACATCTAGTATATCGTCCAACAATGCCCTACAGACCCACCACAACCTCGATACTGTGGTCGAAATTCAGGGCCGTCTCGATCAATTTGAGCAATCGGTCACGCCGTTTCTCTCGTGGACGGCACATGCCGACATGCCGGGCGACGTGTCCGAAGAAGATCGCCTCATTATGGGCATTAGTCAGAATGTCCTCCATGCCCGGTTCATCTACTTGCAGCTGATTCTCTACCGGCCCATCTTGTCCCAGCTTGCCAACTCAGACGCAAGCCCGACTACATCGAGTGGCGCAAACTCGTCTGGTCAGTCCTTGTTGACCCGTGATGGCCTTCGCTATTCCTTTGCCATTGAATGTGGGAAGTCTTGCGTCGAGGCAGCCAAGCGCCTTATCGTCTTGGTGCATAGTGTTTACCGGACGGAGACGACTGATATCTGGTGGTGGAATGGCCTATGTGAGTCCTCGGCCCTTTTACTTGATTCGCAGTTACCATTGGAATTTTGAGTATGCTGACTTCATCCAGACGCATGTGCTGCTGGCCTAGTCCTTATTGTTGCTCGGTCGTGTCCCGACCTCTGGCAATCACTCGATCGTGATGAAATTGCGGCTCTTTGGGACAAGTCCCATTCTATTCTGCAAGATCAGGCACTCTACAGTGCCTCTGCACGCAAGTCACTCGACCTCCTGCTCAAGGTCAACGAGCATGCCCTCCTCAGACAGGCCGCCGGTGAGAATGACATCTTGGCTGCCAATACGTCCAGTGGCAATGGTTTTGCTAGCGATGGCGGTGTAGGGGCAGCAGGACGAGAAGGAGGAGGACATAGAGATGGCAACAATAACAACAACAACGGCAACAGCGGAAACATGGGCAGCAATAGCGGCCTTGCAGCGCAGTTCCTTGCGGGCACGACAGGCGACGGCCTGGCTGCAGCAGGAGGAAGCAACATGCAGCCGGGCCAGTTCGACTTCCTGGCCCAGATGGCCGACCCCAATGCGCCAACCCTGCTTGAGGATACCTACGCAATGGGTCCGTTGTTTGCCTGGGACCAGAATATCGATTTTACTAATTTGCTACCCTGAGGCATTTGTGGGCCTGGGTAGTCCATTGCCAACCGTCTGTTATACCCAACATGCTGACGTTCTGATATTCTGACGTCAATCTCGTCATCCTAGGCATTTCCGTCCGTCAAACCATCCACTTTCCTGAAATGTATGTTTACACGGTTAACGCCTTGTGCAATACAACTCATCGAGCATGAAATTGAGCGATGCTATCGTCTAGGCCCGACACCACTGGGAACACGATGCCGTGGGAAATACGGTGACCGAATATCCGGCTGATGGCTTGGGCTGAGGCGGACACACGGACCAAAACAGATCGCCGGTGCTAGAACATGGGAAGGCTGGGCCTAAATATTTCCTGGGTTCGCCCGTTGAGATAACCAGTCGGGCAGCCCGGGCGGGATAAGCAACGGCCCATGCAGCCTTAGCCAGGGCAGTAAGTAGAGTGAGTCTAGGGGAAGCCAACCGAACCGCGATACGTTTTGCTGCGCAGTCGAATTGTCAAATTGTACCGACGGAGTCAGGGATGGCGATCGATCAACTATCCACAAACTCAACCCCCTTTTGAGAGCGGTAATATAATGCAGAGCAATCAAAACTACCTAAAGCATCTAGACGATATGCTATCAACATCGAACGAAAAAAAACACAAAAAAAAAACACGGGGTCCAGCCAAGAGCCAAGACCCCTTGTTGACTTTCCGCGAAAGACGAACACCGACTTGCTCGTACTGCAGCAGAAGTTTGCTTGTGTGGAAAATGTGGGCTTTGCAGCCGGATCCATTCCGAAGCCGAATCTCCAGCATGCAAAGGTTCAGTGTTAGTCGGAGCCATCCCGTCTGCCTAAACCGAATTGGGAGAGAAGCGCTGCCACAAAAGCGCGAATGCGATAACGAGCGGCGGTTTCTAAATCTAGAAATTTGGTTTACGAAACACGGAACAACAGCAGACAACACAAAGCTTTCGGGTGCGCCCCGTGAAGCATCGCCCTCTCATGTCGTTGGCCAATGCATCTGCACTCATCCCTGTACCTGAGGCGCCCGTGCCGACGTCATGTTTATCATCTCCGTCATCTCTGTCATCTCTATCATTTAGACAGTGTCTGCCCGACAGGCCGACATAGACGCCTCGAAGATTATCGTCGGGGCAAATCAAAACTGAATCATGGGATATGTCAATATTCCAAATACACGCTATCGAAATCGACCCCTGAAAACCGTTACATCACTGGGTCCAAAGAAAGCTGTGTGGCAAGTACACCGTACGTTGTTTGTACGATGTATGCGATAAACTTGGATCTACCAGCGATACATCGAGCTCAAGTGACAAGACAACGATCTGCCGAAAACCAATGTAAGACGTACCCGCTCTAACCTGCCCGAGTGCTCACGCTGACCTGTCGACTGATCCTCTAAAATCAATTTCGTTGGCGAATCCTTTGCGCGAGCATGTTGAGAAAAGGGTCTCCAAAACGGGCATCGTGCTAACTGCCTCCCAAGACCTCAGTACTTGTCTCACAACATCCTTGGCGATTTAGAATGCGTCGCATTCAAAGCAAAATTATTGGCAAATGGACAGTCTCTGTCCAGTTTGCTATTCCAAATGCAAGAAACTATCAACTAGATCTGTACTCTGGCTGTCTGGCTCGCAAAACATTGCAACACCATTGTTGGCCCAAATCCGGCCCACTTAGCAAAACGATCGCCTGTCGTTGTTGTCCTTGGATCGGCATTAGACCGCAGAGCCAGGCAAAAATAGGTCTGGCGGCAACTTTCTCGTCAGTGGACTCCGAGCTTCAACGGAATGGGTCGTGCTGGCCCTAAGGGGAAACGGTTGTTCAAAGTCAACAAAAACGGGGACAAAACGTGTGCAAGGGGTGCCAAACGCCACTGGCAAAGGCAACGGCAATGTCCAGAGGCAAGTGGACTATCACATGCGAACTGGCTCCAATCGAGAAAACCGCAAAATACGACACAAATCTCGGAGAATATCGTAGAAGGAAAAAGGGGGGAATGGGCGACTACAATGCACAATGACGACATGGAAAAGAGGACAAGACAAACAACAAAACGAATGCGACCAAAGACCAAAGCACAAAAAAAAAAAAAAAAAAAAAAAAAAAAAAAAAAAAACAAAAAGGACCGCGGCAGTCATCTCTTTTCGGGGAGACGGTGGTTTGGAAGTCCGTTGGTGGCGTTGACGCGCGACGTGGCGTTCCCAAGACCACCAAAGCCACCAAAATCGTCACAAAATACGCATACTACCGGGGACTACCTCAGACCGGACAACTCGCACAGGCCGGTACTTCACTGTGAGTGCGAAGTCATTCGCGCTCGGAATGTTCCCGGGCTGCAGATCCAACCCCAAAAGCGACGGCAGCCAGGAATGAGACCTGCGAAAATCGCCGACGGTGCCTAGAGCAGACGGAAGTACGGAATTGGGCTAGGCCTGCTGTGTGTTAGTGGTTGACGCCTATGTGGTGGGCCCAGCATGAGTAAGAGCAACCGCTTGCCTCCCCCCCCCTCTCCTTCAAACCGACGGAGCTTCGCGACCACATCGTAATTAGCTCTTGTGGACTGGACGGGACTCAGCTCCTTTGCTGTTTCGTTTCCATGGGGGGGGTGGCAAGTGTATTTCTTTCCTTAATTGTCGGATGTTTTTTTTTTTTTTTTTTTTTACTTGGACCTATATTAAGCTTTCGGCTGCCCTCCATCTGGTCTCACGTGGAATTGCAACTTCTGGGACCTGGCTAACACGACGGTTCTTTGTTTTGATTTCCATCATATGCCACGACCCTTGCTCTTGTCTTTGCATTGTCGTTTTGTTTGTTTTTGTTTTGCCCATCGCACCATCACAAGAGCTGGCGTAGCCTATTATATCTCTCTGTATAAGTGGACTCGACACGTCCAGCATCAATGACCGCCAACATCGACGGAGCCGAGCCAATGGCTGCTCCAGGCCATCAGAATGTCACCAACCTGCCACCGTCCGCCGCCCCGAGCGGCGTGGTATCCCACACCCCCGACACCGGTGTTGCTCAGCACCGGCCGGACGAGATCGAAGAGGTGGACCAGATTCTCGACTCGGAGTCCGTCACATCGGCCCAAACGAACCTCACGCGCAGCCACACCCGCACGATGATCCACGAGCACGACCGCGATGCCATCCGCCGTGTTGCCACGGCCATGTCATTCTCCGGCGAGCATGGCCAAGCCGGCCAGACATTTACAGCGGGCGACGACGCCCTCAACCCCAACAGCCCCAATTTCGACATCTCCAAGTGGCTCGGCAAGTTCATCCGCTCCATGCGCGGCGAGGGCATCGACAGTGCACGTGCGCGGCCCGGCATCGTGTTCAAGAACCTGTCCGTCTCCGGCAGTGCCCCCGACCTGCAGGTGCAGCAGACCGTGGCTTCGACCCTCCTGTCGTCGCTGTCCCTGCCGCTGCGCATCGGCGAGGCCGTCGGCCTGCGCAAGAGCGCACCCAACAAGCAGATCCTGCACAAGTTCAACGGCGTCGTCGCGCCCGGCGAGCTGCTGGTCGTGCTGGGCCGCCCTGGCTCCGGCTGCAGCACGCTGCTCAAGTCCATGTGCGGCGAGCTGCACGGCCTGCACATTGACGAGGGCTCGACCATCCACTACAGCGGCATTCCGCAGCCCAAGATGGTGAAGGAGTTCCGCGGCGAGACCATCTACAACCAGGAGGTCGACAAGCACTTCCCCGAGCTGACCGTCGGCCAGACGCTCGAGTTCGCCGCCCAGGTCCGCATGCCCTCGCACAAGTGGTCCTTTGTCAACCCCAACATGACCCGCAACCAGGTCGCCAAGTACGCCGCCCAGGTCGTCATGGCCGTCTGCGGCCTCAGCCACACCTACAACACCAAGGTCGGCAACGAGTTTGTGCGCGGCGTGTCGGGCGGCGAGCGCAAGCGTGTCAGCATTGCCGAGATGATGGTCGTGGGCAGCCCCTTCATGGCCTGGGACAACAGCACGCGCGGCCTCGACTCGGCCACCGCCCTCAAGTTCGTGCAGACCCTGCGCATCGCCAGCGACCTGGCCCGCACCTGCAACGCCGTCGCCATCTACCAGGCCAGCGAGAGCATCTACGAGCTGTTTGACAAGGCGACCGTCCTCTACGAGGGCCGCCAGATCTACTTTGGTCCGGCCAGCGGCGCCAAGGCGTACTTTGAGGGCCTCGGCTATGCCTGCCCCACGCGCCAGACCACCGGCGACTTCCTGACCTCCGTCACCAACCCCGTCGAGCGCAAGGCCAAGCCCGGCATGGAGGACAAGGTGCCGCGCACCGCCGAGGAGTTTGAGGCGTGCTGGCTCAAGTCCGCCGAGTACGAGGCCATGCTGGCCGGCGTCGCCGAGCACGAGGCCGCGTACCCGCTCGACGCGCATGGCCAGAACGTGTCGGCCATGCGCGAGGTGAAGAAGGAGAAGCAGGCCAACCACGTCCGCCCCAAGTCGCCCTACATCATCAGCACCGGCATGCAGATCAAGCTCAACACCAAGCGCGAGTACCAGCGCCTCTGGAACGACAAGGCTCCCACCATCACCACTGCCGTCACCTGCATCGTCCTCGCGCTCATCATCGGCTCCATCGTCTACGGCACCCCCGACGCCACTGCCGGCTTCTTCTCCAAGTCCTCCGCCCTCTTCATGGCCGTCCTGCTCAACGCCCTCGTCACGCTCACGGAAATCAACAGCCTGTACGCCCAGCGCCCCATTGTCGAAAAGCACGCGTCGTACGCCTTTTACCACCCGGCCACAAACGCCATTGCCGGCGTCGTCGCTGACATCCCCATCAAGTTCATCATCGCCACCTGCTTCAACATTGTGCTCTACTTCATGGCCGGTCTGCGGCGCGAGCCCGCACAGTTTTTTATCTACTTCCTCTTCACGTACACCGCCACCTTCACCATGTCGGCCATCTTCCGGACCATGGCGGCCATGACGCGCACCATCTCGCAGGCCATGTCGCTCGCTGGTATTGTCGTGCTCGGCTTGGTCATGTACACGGGCTTCGTGATCACGGTGCCGACGATGCACCCGTGGTTCGCCTGGATCCGCTGGATCAACCCCATCTACTACGCCTTTGAAGCCCTCATCGCCAACGAATTCCACGGCCGCCAGTTCGTGTGCTCCGTCATCATCCCCGGCTACTCGCCGCCCATTGGCAACTCGTGGATCTGCAACACTGTCGGCTCCGTCGCCGGCCAGGACTTTGTGAGCGGCGACGCCTACATTGCCGAGTCCTTTGGCTACCACTACTCGCACGTCTGGCGCAACTTTGGCATCATGATCGCCTTCCTCATCTTCTTTATGGGCCTTTACTTTGCCGCCACCGAGATCAACAGCGTTCCGACGAGCGAGGGCGAGATGCTCGTCTACCAAAAGGGCCGCATCCCGCCGCACCTGCTCAAGGGCGCGTCGCGCGGCCCCAGCTCGGGCGCCGGCTCCGACACGAATAATACGAAAGTCGTCGGCAGCGGTGCGACGAAGAGCACGTCGGGCTCGTCGTATGCGACCGGCGACGTGGAAAACGCAGCGCGCGTCGGCGACGCCGGCGAGAAGCCCCAGGCGCCCGAGCCCGCCGCCGACAACGAGGTACACGGCATCCCGCCGCAAAAGGACATATTCACCTGGAAGAACGTCGTCTACGACATCGAGGTCAAGGGCAAAGAGCGCCGCCTGCTCGACCATGTCTCTGGTTGGGTCAAGCCGGGGACGCTGACGGCCCTGATGGGCGTCAGCGGTGCCGGCAAGACGACCCTGCTCGACGTGCTGGCCGAGCGCACCACCATGGGCGTAATCACCGGCGACATGTTTGTCAACGGCTCACCGCGCGGCACGAACTTCCAGCGCAACACGGGCTATGTCCAGCAGCAGGATCTGCACCTCGAAACCGCCACCGTGCGGGAGAGTCTGCGGTTCAGCGCCATGCTGCGCCAGCCCAAGACGGTCAGCAAGCAGGAAAAGTACGCCTTTGTCGAGGAGGTCATCCAGATGCTCAACATGGAGGATTTCGCCGACGCCGTCGTCGGCGTGCCCGGCGAGGGCTTGAATGTCGAGCAGCGCAAGCTGCTGACCATTGGCGTCGAGCTGGCGGCCAAGCCAAAGCTGCTGCTGTTCTTGGACGAGCCCACGAGCGGTCTCGATTCCCAGAGCTCCTGGGCGATTTGCAACTTCTTGCGCAAGCTGGCCGACGCCGGCCAGGCCGTGCTCTGCACAATCCACCAGCCGAGCGCCGTCCTGTTTGAGCAGTTTGACCGTCTCCTGTTTCTGGCGGCCGGCGGCAAGACGGTCTACTTTGGCGAGGTCGGCCACGACTCGCGCACCCTGCTCGACTACTTCGAGGCCAAGGGCGCGCGCGCGTGCGGCAGCACCGAGAACCCGGCCGAGTACATGCTCGAGATTGTCAACAAGACGGTCGCCGGCGACGGCCAAGACTGGCATGCGACGTGGAATGCCAGTGCCGAGCGCGTGGCCGTCGAGTCCGAGATTGAGCGCATCTACGTCGAGAAGCGCAACGTGTCGAGCGCCGCCGACAAGGAGCCCGACAGCGACAGCGAGTTCGCCATGCCGTTCAGCACCCAGCTCTGGGAGGTCACCTACCGCATCTTCCAGCAGTACTGGCGCATGCCCTCGTATATTTTTGCGAAACTGTCGCTCGGCATTCTCGCCGGTCTGTTTGTCGGCTTCTCCTTCTTCCAGGCCAAGGGCACCCTCGCCGGCACGCAGAGCGTTATTTTCTCCGTCTTCCAGATCCTCACCATCTTCTCGTCGCTCGTCCAGCAGATCATGCCGCTCTTTGTGACCCAGCGCTCCCTCTACGAGGTGCGCGAGCGGCCCGGCAAAATGTACTCGTGGAAGGCGTTCATCATTGCCAACATCGTCGTCGAGTTCCCCTGGCAGATCCTGACCGGCATCGTCACCTACGCCTGCTTCTACTACCCAGTGATTGGTGTCCAGGCCGCGCAGCGCCAGGGCCTTGTTTTGTTGTTCGTCATCCAGCTCATGCTCTACGCCAGCTCCTTTGCCACCATGTGCATCGCCGCGCTGCCCGACGCCCAAACCGCCGGCGGCATCGTCACGCTGCTCGTCATGACCAGTCTTATTTTCAGCGGTGTCCTGCAGACCCCCGTCGCCCTGCCCGGCTTCTGGATCTTCATGTACCGCGTCTCGCCCTTCACCTACTGGGTCTCCGGTGTCATCTCGACCGCCGTCCATGACCGGCCCATTGTGTGCTCCGCGGCCGAGACGTCTATTTTCAGCCCGCCCATGGGCTACACCTGCGGCCAGTACCTGGCGCCCTACCTCACCGTGGCCCCCGGCACCCTGCAGAACCCCGACGACACGGCGGACTGCCGCTACTGCCAGATCTCGGTGGCCGACACCTATCTTGCCCAGAGCAACATTTATTGGAGCACGCGCTGGCGCAACTTTGGCATCCTTTGGGCCTACATCCTCTTCAACATCTTCATTGCCATTCTCACCTACTACCTGTTCCGCGTGCGCAGAGTCAGCCTGAGCCTGAGCTCGCTCTCGTCGCTCAAGTTCTGGGGCAAGAAGAAGAAGGCGGCCGAGGCGGTGTAAGACGGCCCGGCCGGCCCATACTCAGCGCCACCACTTTTTCTTTCTTTGCTTTTTTTTTCTTTTTTTTTTTCGATATCCTTTATAGATTTCTTTGTTTTTGTTTGTTGCTGTATTGTTAATTTCTCCTATTTGGATTCATATTTTAATTTCGCGATGATTTTTTAATATTTTTGGGGAGTTCTTACCGGGACAGATTAATCTTTTTCTTTGTTGTCTTTTTGGTTACCTTTTACAAATATCCTTTGCTACACAGCACAAATTCAAGTTTACTTTTGAACATGCTACATGAAGAGCATCCTCCTAGTCCGCAGACAATGAAATAAAATGATCATCAGCACGCAATACTGGTGAGAACGATCCAAAACGGTGGGTCAACGACGTGCGGCTGGCTCACGAGATGTAGAGGCACAGGCGGACAGAATCAGGATGCGAATTATTCCCAGAGCGTTGAATCTCTTCGAGGATTTCTTTTTGAATATGGACGGCATCAGCGGCAATCGGGCTCGAATCATCTACAACAGAGGCTACAGAGTCTCAACGGAACACTGTCACTTTCGATGTCTCTACAAATTCGTCTACGGCGACGATGTGGACGATGTGAACGAGGTCCGTTTTCTCGACGATGCAGACACCGTCTCCAGTGGCGACAACGGTCTGACAGACGACCAACACGAATGGCAACACAAGGAAGCGTGCACGCAGCAAAGGCATAGGCTGTGACTGCAGTATAGCATGCATTGGCAAAGGGGAAAAAACGGCACGTAAGAGGCTACAGAACAGGCAGAGAAGCATGCTGAGAAAGACGTTGAGAAGGACAATGGGCTATAGTGGCCAAGCCAACAGCGAATACGATGAAGGCCATGCGTGAAAAGTATATGATGGAACGCAAGCGGAGGGTGGGAGGGCTGAAGAAAGAACACGAGTGCGATGAGAAGGAGGCGGAGGAGAAAGAGAGACAGACACACGAGGAAGAAGCTGGGGACGAGGAGACGGGCGAGACGAACGAAGGAGAGACCACTGGAAGACAAAGAACCTGAACTACAGGAGAAAACGGGACTGTCGACAGCGTGGAAGCGGTGAATCGGCTAGGGATGACGATGCCCAGTTTAGTTGGGTTGACCTTTTGCTATTTCTGGGAATGGGGAGGGGGGGGTCGATTTCTCTTTCTTTCTTTCTTCTTCGTCGTCTTTTTGTTTGGACTCTTTGTCATTCGTTTTCTGGGGCAAGGCGTATAGAAACAAAATAAGAAATTAGTTTGCTGAAGTTGACGACGGTGGACTGCGACAATACGCGAACTGAGAACATTTGAGCAAAAGTTCAACTGACGAATGGACGACGAGAATTGATGAAACATGAGCTGGCATGGAAACGGGGAAAGGGAAACAAAAAACACCTGACAGTCGTTAACATCGACAGTTGCAAAAGTTCGGACGACAAGAATAGGAGAGACAAGAAGGAAGGGAAGATGGCAAAAAAAGGGATGACAGTCATGCGAAGGGGGAAAAAAGACCGTGACCTTGGCCACCAAAAGAAAAGAGAAGAAAGGACGACGAAACAAGAAACAAGTTGAAACACTGAAACATCTGGATCTCGCCCATCGTCTCTTCTTTCTCTCCTGTCTTTGGCCTAGCCTTTACCCTCGTCGTTTCACAATGTGCATGCGCCAGGGGCGTCCTGGGCCCGCGATTGGCTGCAAGGCGCGGCCAAGACAAAGCAGCCTGGTCTCGCTGGTCAGGACCCCGCGACTGTCGTACTAGTCGATCGCTGTTGTCCAGTCCGTTCGGCCTCATCAGCACGAGCCTGTTCGTATCGTCAGTCAAGTCGTTGTTATTTTTCCTTTCTGCCGTTACCTTTTGTGCCGTTCCTTGCCCTCAGCGCAACCTCCTCATGATGTTGCCCCTTTTTTGGCGGGAACTCTCGAGAAACAGTGACCAACCAGAGCTCAAGGTCTCACTTCTTGTCCGTGGAAGCCTGCTGGACATGCCCGCTTTTTGCGTCCTTCTCCCGAGCAAGGAGAAACAGGCGAGACAGTGAAGTCGATAGGAAAGGGAGACTAGGCACAAAACGATGACGATCTTTGACCGTGTGTTGATTGTGTCTTGACATTCTGTACCATTTCTGTGAACCACCAAACGCAGGGCAACGGTACAAAGGACTGAAGAGGGAGGACAGGGAAAACGAAAACGGAATCCAAACGAGCCAATGAAGACCAAACACAATCTGGAAACGAAAGAATATGCGGCCGCCCGCAGGATGCGGCCTGTTTCAATATGGGCAAAAGGTCAAAAGCGAGGCCAACCTGGTATGCTCGGCGGCAAACAATATCTAGAGTAAGTGGCAACTCAACGTAATTACTATCAGAACTTTGATGCATTCCTTGTGCCCGTGAGGGTCCCACGAACCGGGGAGCAAATCAACGAGCCGGACATACCCTGCCGTCAGTCGGAAGACTCACCGAATAGGCCTCTACAAGACCGCAACGGCGGAATGGCGAAACGCTGGTTGCAAGAGGCCCGTCAACTCTCCCTTGGCGCTCTTGGCGATCCTTTTTTTGAGCGGAGCTTTGTTGGCTTTTCGACTCGTGTGCACGTCACCCCTTGAATTGGTGTCTTGCTGATACTCCGAAGGGATACACACGAGAAGGCATCCTGGGAAGTCCTGGGAAACAACCTAGGAAACACCGTCGGAAGCAACTCAAAGCTTCGTCAAGCACCGCAGAATCCCAAGAATTCTGTTCGCGTCCACAGGCCAACCCTGCTCGTTCCGTCTGTTTTTCTGCTGGGAGACGTCGTGTCTTCTCCTGCGAGATCTCCGGGCCTTGCTTAGCCACGATGGGAAGGTGGACGACAGCGTCGTCGGAGTACGCGTCCCAAGACTGACAGGGCCCGTCTGATTCAGAGTGAGAACAGTGCAAGACGACAAAGAGATAGAACAACAAGACGCCCCAAGCGAAGAGTCATGTTCTTGCCTCGACGCTGGTTGTCTCTCCCGGATCGACGACGACCAATCGATTGCACATTGTCAGCCACGTCTGTGGGAGCTGTCGTGAGAAGAGTCAGGCGACGGCACGGGGGACTGCAAGAATGTAAGATACTCCGCACGTCGTCCCTCCATTGGGAATCCAGGACGATGGATGCAGGGGACACAAAACGGCAGGGCACACCGACCAGGCATTACCCAAACTGGAAGGAAGGAAAAGCAGTGTCCCTTCGAAGAAGAGGCAGTTGCATGACGATGCCAGGTCCCTCTTTCCCTTTTACGTCACTTGTTCCCTTTTTTTTTTTGGTCTGCAGCCAAGCAGGACCAGTGCCTGGCAGGTGCGCGTGTGCCCCTGGCGTTAAAGACGTACTGTGGTAAAGGCGTTGGCGGCTCGCCCCAGACGGGCGCTCTGTAGCGCTACGGTTCAGCTCTATGCGCTGTGGTGCAGCACTGGCTCCCGGGGTCCTATGGCGCGTTTGGTTGCGAGTGGTGCCTGCGTCTCAACCCCTGCATTGGGGGCCTCTCCTGTCTTGCTTTTTTGCGCGAAACCGGGGCTACCCTGAGTCGTGGATCGTGGTGTCCTCCCAAGGAACAACACCTGGTTGGTCGTTCTCGCCCGCTCTCCCTGCCCAACCAACAGCGACTCCACTTTTCATGGTGAACCGCCACCACGACGATCCATGATCGACTGGCTGAGCCGCAACGGGAGGACGTTCTCTTTGTCAGCGGAGGACGCGTGTTGTTGGTTCCTCGTTTTTTTTCTCTCTCTCTCTCTCTCTCTCGTTACTGTACAGCGTCTGTTGCACACACAGTTTAACTCCAAGTGACTGTCTAGCTGGTGTGGGCGTCAGGTGCTGCATTCGACGTTATTTTCTGTCTGTCTTTTCAGTTTGTTTTTGTCGTCATTATTTTTGAAAACATTCTGCAGACTCATGAAAATCTCATGCAAACGGGCCTTGCCTTTCATCCTCATTCTCCCTAAAGGCACCAAACAAGTACAGGGCTCAGATGTCCGGAAAGGGACGACAAGGACACCCTCTTTGGCAAACAAAGGCTTCGCCGACCAACCAGAAAGACACAAATACAAAGAGAGTACGCCTACGTCGTACGGAGGACGTTGACATAAAGAATACGACACAAAAAGGACAAGCATCAAAAAAAGATCGTGCCTGCCTCCACCTGTCGATCGGTCGCACCCCATGCGCAAGGGAAGGTGCGGTCGCACCAGTCAGGGGCTCCCGTCTCCCAGCTTTCGTACCTAGAAGGAGCCCTCCGAGCCCCTTCCCACCCCTATTCACCCGCCTATTCGCCTGTGGCTTGAAACACGCCACTGCAAAAGGGAGGCCTGCCCGCTGGCCTATCACAGCCTGTCAATCCTCCTCGTCTCTCACCTGGGACATTTTTTTTAAATAAAAATTCCGCCTTTTCTCCCATGTCGCTTCCGTCGCTGCATAACTGACCGCAGCCCTGTGCCCCTGGCAATTCGTAGAACTCCAGCGCGTGTGTCGTGTTTGCCTGCGCCGCTCAGTCTTTACCTGGCTCCTTCCCAAAGTCTGCCAGCGCCTCCCCGATATTTTGTGGATCGCTCGCTCTTTCCTCTTTGGTCTGTAAGTCGGTGTTGACCAACATGAAGCAGCACTCACAGAATGCGAGAGGCGTAGGCGAGGAATGAGCCCTGCACCGGTCCTTGCTCTTGCCCATCCTGGACCGTGAGACCACAGACTATCGGGTCGTCTTTCACTGGCTCTCCCTTTTTTTTTTTTTTTTTTCTGTTGTTTTTGTCGTTTCTGTTGTTGACCCTCGACATTGTCGCCCTGGCGCTGTCCACGACCAATCGTTTGCCCCAGCATCGTCACCTCCGGGCCTCCCTCTTTCTTGTCCCTGTCTCCTGTCATCCTCTATTCTCCGCAGGAAACAGCTCGCCGTTTCTCGTTTCCTCTGTTCTCCTTGGCCACTTTCTTCTTTCTTGCCGCAGGGAAGCTTCCCAGCTGCATCACCGGCTCAAGTACGACATATGGCATACGACGCATTCCGTACTTTGGTCGTCCCTGCGGGCATCCCTTCCCCAGTCGGCCTTGCCCCTTTTCCAGCCTGCCGCCACGGCGCCTGATGAGACCCAAAAGCGCCCATGGTCTGTGGCCTCCGCCGACATGGCCTTCGTCTCCCTGCTTTCGGTAGACACCCACACTTTTTTTTCTTGCATGCTGTGCGTCTTTTGGCCTGCTGTGTCTCTAGTCTGCTTGTCCGTGAGCGGGCCCATTTGTCTGCAGCCTCTACCCCGGCTGCCATCCAGGGCCCCTCTCTCAATGGCCAAACGCCCGCTTCTCACCGTCTGTGCACTTTTGTGTCCACTCGGCGGAGGAGAACTCCACCTTTGCTCTCTCTGCCCAGATGGCCACTCCTACCTTTGTGCTCCGCTTGGCCTGAAACCCTGCCATTCTTTTCCCTCTTGTCTCGCGATCTTGAGATATAAGATCCCTCTCGACATCCTCTTGCCAAGTCTTGATTTTCCTCCTTTCCCTTTTCTTCTTTTGTTCTTCTTGTTTCCCTTCTTCTCTCTTCATCCTGTTTCTGTTTCTTTACCTCCACCGTTTGTTTCGTCCTGCATCTTCCCGACCTAGTGTCGTACGCATTCATTCCTTAAGGCACGGTTCCTTTTTTATCAAATCGCATTTCCAAAACAACCTTTTTGATTTTCGATTTTCGATTTTTCAATTCACAAAATCTTCAAGTTTTACCTTTACGCCTGGCGCATCACTTTCCTTTTGAGCTCTGACGCTTTTTACTTCACCTGCACACTATCACGCTCTCCGCGAACATACTGGACTCTTTTGATCCTTTGAACTCAAACCACCCAACACAGTCCAACACTCTAGAGCAAATTCCGTTTGTTCATTGTCCATTGTTCCTACTGTTCCTTGTGAGTATTCCTCGTTGTATTCTTGGGGTTCCTTTGGCAATCAGCCAAAGGTCCTCCATATTTGCTCTGTTCACCCCTTGTGGCGTAGGTTTTGTTCTTTGTTGATTCACCACCTTGCAAACGAACACCACAACCCCCTCTTGCTCACCCCGTTGTTTGTGAACAGAGCACATTCTGTAGCCATTCAAGTTGACTGACCCAGACTCTTATAAATACAGCGGATCTTCGCCATTCAACTTCATTTTCGCTCCTGGTCTCTCTCTCGCTCACACACACACTTCGTCCACAGTAAACGACTGCAAAACGCAACATTTTGCAACGGCCCAGCTTCCTACAAACAAAACACATCAACCCACACCAAATTCGCCAGTCTTCTCGCAATCGTCCGGCACGATTTTCAGAAAACTAGACCAAAACGTCAACAGACAAAAAAAAATCACCAACATCACAAGTTCAGTCACCATGTCTGCCTTTCGCTCCCTTTTCGCCGCCTCCATGGTCGCCCTGGCCAGTGGCCACATGCTCATGAACACCCCCCAGCCCTACGGCACGCCCGCCCTCGTCAACGGACCTCTTCACGCTGATGGTTCCAACTTCCCTTGTCAGCTGACTGCCGGTGGCTCTTTCTCCGCCGGCGGCGCATCAAACACCTACCCTCTCGGCTCCGAGCAGGAGCTCAAGTTCACCGGCCAGGCCGTCCACGGCGGCGGTTCTTGCCAGGTGTCCATCACCTACGACAGCAACCCCAGCGCTTCGAGCACATGGAAGGTCATCCGCTCCATCGAGGGTGGCTGCCCCGCCCAGGGCCAGACGGGCAACATGGGCGACGACGCCAATGCGGCCGACCCCTACACCTACAACTTCACCGTCCCGGACAACATCCCCACCGGCTCGGTCACCCTTGCCTGGACCTGGTTCAACAAGATTGGCAACCGCGAAATGTACATGAACTGCGCGCCTGTCACCCTCACCGGCACCTCGGGCAGCAAGTCCAACTTTGACAGCCTCCCCGACATGTTCGTCGCCAACGTCGGCAACGGCTGCGGCACCGTCGACAGCACCGACCTGCTCTTCCCCAACCCCGGCAAGGACGTTGTCTCCATGAACGGCGCCACGTCGGCCTTCTCGACGCCTACGGGCACGGGCTGCCAGGCTGCTGGAGCTGCTCCCACGGCTGGTGGTTCGGGCTCTGGCTCTGGCTCCGGCTCCGGCTCCGGCTCCGGCTCCGGCTCTGGCTCTGGCTCTGGCTCTGGCTCTGGCTCTGGCTCTGGCTCTGGCTCTGGCTCTGGCTCTGGCTCCGGCTCGGGTACCACTGCTGCTGCTGCCGGCAGCACCTCGGCTGCTGCTGCTGCTGGCGGTGTCTTTGTCACTGTCGCCACGTCTGGTGCTGCCGCCGGCGGTTCTGCTGCCACTACGAGTCCCGCTGCTGCCAAGTCCGGTGCTTCCACCACAACCACCAGCGCCACCTCGACCACCACTCTGCCTGCCGCCGCTGGCGGTGCTGCTGGTGGTGCCTCCAGCGCTGCCGCTCCCGCTTCGTCTGCCGCGTCCTCCGGCTCGAGCACGACGTCGTCCACCTCCACTGGTTCCGCCGAGGCTGCCGGCTCCGCCTGCTCGCCCGACGGCACCTGGAACTGCTTGGGCAACTCATACCAGCAGTGCGCCAGTGGTGTCTGGTCTGTCGTCATGCCCCTGGCTCAGGGCACGACTTGCAAGGGTAGCCAGGGCTCTTCCATCGACATTGTGTCGGGCCGCAAGTCCCGCCGCGTTGCTCTGCGCTTCCGCGCATAAAGTGATGGTTGTGTCTTGGATGGCGAAAGGTGAACAGATTATAGACAATCTTCTGGGCATGGTTCATTTTTGGAAAGGGCGGCGTGTAACAACATTAAGCATTTTGGGACTTTTTTGTCTTTTTTCTCGGTTGATTTTTTTTTCTTTGTTTCTTTTCCTCACTTCACTTCCTTCTTTTGTACATAACTTTTTGTGTCTCTTTCCTTCCCTTTTCTGTCTTCTTCACTTCTTTTACATTCTTTTCATCTTCCCTCTTTACCACACTCTCTTGATACCAGACACTGCCTCGGGCCAAAAACAACCCAAATCGAGTAAAACGCTGAGCGTCGAATTGGACCAGGTTGCAAATCACAAAACAAACCAACAGAAACAGATATTGTTCCAAACAATTCAAAACAAAAAAAATTATTCAAAAATACTATTCTGCCCCATATAAACTGTACAGTAAGCCAAATTCCGTGACAAAGTAAACAAGTACTGACCACAGAACGTTGAAAGTAAGTGAACAACGGTATTGCAGTGAACGACTTGCTTCCTGCATCTCACAAGCCCTACAGTGACCGACGTCTTGTTCGCCTCAACACAGGCGCTCTTTCCTTTTTGGGAAAATTGTTGATGAGAGCCAGTCGCCTTGTCGCTGATTGGTCAGCCACCCCCTGCGGTGTCCCCAGCTACTTCCCATTCTTTTAGGCGGACTTTTGTTCTGCCGTTGCCTAGCGCAAAAGGTTTTGGCAGGACCATCGCCCACTTCCCTCCCTCCCCCCGTCCCTTTCAAGCTGGTCAAGCTCTTTCCGCGAAGAAAAGCGTTTTCTCCATTGGCGAAGAGGCTGGCTAGCGGCAGGAGCCAAGGGCAACCAAGTGCCTCGTAAAAGGATAACGGCACAGTCTGCTGAAATACATCAAAGGAGACTGCAAAGTACTTCATGGACATGCCGTCGACCGCACATAATTGTCATATGTGAATAAAGTGAATTGTTAAAAGATAAACGACTCTGCTGAGAGATCAGCTGTTCACTTTTGTGCATTTTGAGGTTCTTGCATACACTGCACGGCCCTGCATTGTGTCGAACGACACGAGGCTGATGCGCAACTGCCACCAAAAACACTAGCAATTTTTGACGCCAGTGTGTTTGCATACTGTCCATTTAGCGACTATTCACGCTGTGCGGAACGCCTGTAGAGCGTGCATCGCGTCGCAACTTACACTTTTGCACCTCCTTCCGCTCCTGCCAAAAGCCTCTTTTTCCGGCCCTCCTTTTGTTTTTGTATTCACCACTCTCCTCCTCCACCAACATACGGCCAAGGCGTTGGCATCCGCCTGACACACGGATCGGCCTTTCTCTTCACGATACCCTCCGTGTTCCTATACCCTGTCTGACTCGGCCCCCGTCGTCGTCCTATACATTAATTGACAGCCGCGTCGACTTGTTTTATTTTGACGACTACATCACCATCACCTTATTGTCCTGCTGAGCAATCCTCGCCCGTTGGACTACATACGACTTCTGCCTGTCCGTGGCCACGCTCCGGTGCTCTCCACGCATGGGGCCAAGATAGGATCCTGACGACCGTCTTGTGTCGCACGTCTTCCCCTGCGTCACCCTCGTCTCCCCACGCCGCACGGCCGCCGTCGCCGTAGCGGCCGACTCTCTCTCCCTCCCCCCTGACGCTATCATGACCTCCGCAGGCGTCATCGACACAATCCTCCGCCAGCTGGCGACGGTCGACTTGTCCGCCAAGGACAAGTTTGAGGCCGCCGTCACGCTGCGCGACCACCTCGACCACTACACATCCGGGCCGGTCTACCCACAGTTTCTGAAAAAGGTCATGCCTGTCATTATCGGTATCCTCAGTGGCCCGCCCAGCTTCCAGAGCGAGTCCTCGGAGCAGAAACTACGCAACTGCATGCTGGAAATCATCCACCGCTTCCCCTCCATCCCCTCCCCGCCCGAGCCGTTCGAGCCGTATGCCGAAGAGACCATCGACCTGCTCTCGCGCCTCATCCGCACCGACAACGAAGACAATGCGTGCCTGTGCATAAAGACCGTCTGCGACATCCTGCGCCACCAGTCCAAGGTCTGTGGTGCCAAGGCCCAGGCGTTCCTGCTTCTTGTCAAGGACCTGTTTGACCAGACAGAGCTCATCGTCAAAAGCCAGCTCGACCATGAGCAGCCGGCCGACGGCTCAGCTGCCGCCGGTGCTGGTGCCGGTGCCGGTGCCGGTGCAGCGGCACTAGCAGCAAGCGACCCAACGGCCCCCTCCACGCCGGGACCCTCACATCCGCCCGGCTCACCCGTTGCTGGAGCATCGCTCGAGGTCGACCGGCCGCTGCTCAAGGGCATGCAGTCGTTCAAGGTGATCGCCGAGTGCCCGATCATCGTCGTCAGCATCTTCCAGATGTACCGCTCGCTCAACAACATCAAGCCTTTTATCCCTGTCATCAAGGCCGTGCTCAGCACGCACCCCAAGGCCCAGGACCGCGCGCACGCCGAGGCCAATGCCCGGGGTGCCAACTTCTTCGGCATGAGCCCGCTCATCCGCAACAAGACGAGCTATGGCGACTACATTACGCTCAAGGTGAAGATGATGAGTTTCTTGGCCTATGCCCTGCGCCAGCATGCCGATCTCATGGCCGACTTCCTGCCGGCGCTGCCGTCCACCATTGTCCGGCTGCTGCGTGACTGCCCGCGCGACAAGGCCGCCGCCCGCAAGGAGCTCATCGTGGCCATCCGCCACATCATCAACTTCAACTACCGCCTGATCTTTGTTAGCGTCATTGAGCAGTTCCTCGACGAGCGTACCCTCATGGGCGACGGCCTGACGGTGCATGAGACCATGCGTCCGCTGGCGTACAGCATGCTGGCCGACCTGATCCACCACGTCCGCGACCACCTGAAGCCGCCCATCATCCGCAAGACCGTCGCTATCTACACGCGCAACCTGTTGGACGACTTCCCCGGCACCAGCTTCCAGACCATGAGCGCCAAGCTGCTCCTGAACATGGCCGAGTGCATCGCCAAGATGGACGACAAGGTCGAGGCCCGCTACCTCCTCGTCACCATCCTCAACGCGATTGCCGACAAGTTTGCCTCCATGAACCGCCAGTACAACAACGCCGTCAAGCTGTCGGCCGACGTGCGCCGCCAGCAGGCCGACCAGCAGCGCAAGGCCGCTGCATCGCCCACCGCCCTCGGCACGGCGGCCTTCTCCGAGACGTACCTGGCCGACATGGACGCCACGGCACCCGCCTGGGACGAGATCGACATCTTCACCGCCGCCATGCCCATCAAGCTGATCAACGCGCGCGAGCGGGGCCACGACCCGGTCGTGGACAACAAGTTCTTGTTCAAGACCCTCATGCACGGCCTGCGGAACACCGTCTTCCAGCTCCGCGCCTGCACCCAAGCACCTGCCATCGACCCGGCCATCGCGCCCGCCGGCTGGTCCGAGGTCGCCAGCGGCTTCAACGCCGAGGAGGTCCAGGTCATTGTCAAGCTGCTGCGTGAGGGCGCCCGCGTCTTCCGGTACTACGAGGGCGTCAAGGACAAGAACGCCTCCGACGCCCACTACGCGTCCACGGTCGAGTACATGGCCAACTTTTACATGGCCTCCAGCAGCAAGGAGGAGAAGGACCTGCTCGAGATGTTTGCGACCGTCTTCCACGTCATCGACCCGGCCACGTTCAACGAGATCTTTGGCCACGAGGTGCCGCATCTCTTCGCCATGACCCTCGAGCACCCGGCCCTGCTGCACATCCCGCAGTTCTTTTTGGCCAGCGACGTCACGTCGCCCACTTTTTGCGGCATGCTGCTGCGCTTCCTCATGGACCACATCGAGGAAGTCGGCCTGGCCGACGTCAAGAAGGCGTCTGTCCTGCTGCGCCTGTTCAAGCTTGCATTTATGGCCGTCACGCTCTTCGCTGCACAGAACGAGCAGATTCTGCTGCCCTACGTCGTCGACATCATCAGCAAGTCTGTCGAGCTGTCGACCCACGCCCAAGAGCCCATGAACTACTTCTTCCTGCTCCGCTCGCTCTTCCGTAGCATCGGAGGCGGCAAGTTTGAGCACCTCTACAAGCAGATTCTGCCACTCCTCGAGATGCTGCTGGACGTCCTCAACAACCTCCTGTTGGCCGCCCGCAAGCCGGTCGAGCGCGACCTGTATGTCGAGCTCTGTCTGACGGTGCCCGCCCGCCTCAGCAACCTCCTGCCGCACCTCAACTTCTTGATGCGGCCCCTCGTCGCCGCTCTCCGCGCTGGCTCGGATATGATTGGTCAGGGACTGCGTACCCTTGAGCTCTGCGTCGATAATCTCACAGCGGAATACCTCGATCCACTGATGGCACCGGTCCTCGACGAGCTCATGCCCGCCCTCTACGACCAGCTGCGCCCGCATCCCTACAGCCACTTCCACGCACACACCGCCATGCGCATCCTCGGCAAGCTCGGCGGCCGTAACCGCAAGCACATGACCGACCACCTGCCCCTGACGTTCAAGCAGTACATTGACGACGTGCCGAGCTTCGACGTGCGCCTCGTGGGCTCCAAGAAGGACCGCGCCTTCAATGCCGACCTGGGCATCGAGCTCGCCCTTCAGAAAATCATGGAGGTGCCCAGCAAGCCGGTCAAGGGCCCCATTCCCAAGCAGTCTGATGCGTACTACAAGAAGCAGGCTCTGCAGATGATTGAGGCGCAGATCAAGATCCGCATTGGCTACGACAAGAGCGTGCCCGAGGACCTGCCTCGTCTTGTCCGCCTGCAGGCGCAGGACCTGCTTGCGCGCAAGTTGGACGTCGACCTGGGCCCCTTTGAGGAGATCCACCGCGACCGCTCCGTTGCCAAGAAGCGCGACCAGGAGGAGGTCCTGACGCGCCTGCTCAAGGCGCTTCTGTACGCCGAGTCCATTCCCGAGCTGCGCGACGAGGCCGACGCGTTCCTGATGAACATCTGCCGCCACTTTGTCGTGCTCGACGTGGGCCGCTCCCTTGTTAACGCCAAGAAGGCCAGCACAACGTTTGACGCCACGACGGGCGAAGGACCCCTGGTCATCGATGCCCACATCCTGGCCGACGCCCTGCTGGACTCGCTCGCGTCCATGCTGCCCGAAGTCCGCGAGGCTGCGCAGCGTGCCATCCGCGTTATGTTCGAGACGGCCGCTACCATCTTCGGCTCGGAGCGCCACGTCCATGTCCTCGAGTTCTTTGGCCACCTCTCGTCCACCTTTACGCACGGCTGTTACGTTGAAGAGTGGTTCCTCAAGACCGGTGCCTGCCTCGGCATCCATACCCTGCTCACGGAAGTCGACCTCGGCGAGGCATGGGTCGACTCTGTCCAGATGGACTTTATCCGCGCGCTGCTCTTTGTCGTCAAGGACATGCCGCCCGACCTGCCGGACACGACCATGCGTCTCGCCCAGAAGACGCTCGAGGCGCTCTTGGACCGAGTGACAAAGGGCCTCACCAAGGACGACGTGGTGCCCGCCAAGGACCATGCCCATCCACGAGCGGAGCAGGACAACAAACGCAATTCGCAGACGCCCCAGCCGCCTCAAGCATCGCCTGCGCCTCAGACCACACCCCAATCCACGCCCACTCCCGCGCCTGCCGCAGTCGCACAGGCTACACCGCAGCCGGCGGCAGCGGCAGCGACATCGACGCCCGCTCCGTCGACCACTGCCGTGGCAGCGCCGAAGAGCACCCGGGCGCGCCGTCTCCCCACGACCTGCAACCTCCTGGCCATGGAGCTGTCACACATGAACAAGCACGTCCGCAGCACTGCGAAGAATTCGCTGGAGCAGATTGCCAAGAACATTGGTGCCCAGGTCTGGGAGATTATCGAGCCCCACAAGGAGCGTCTGCTCACGCCGCTGTTCCAGAAGCCGCTGCGCGCACTGCCGTTTGCGATCCAGATTGGCCTTATTGACGCCCTGACCTACTTCCTGACGCTCAAGACCGACTTTGTGGCCATTGACGACGACGTCGACCGCCTCCTCACGGAGGCCCTGGCCTTGTCCGATGCCAGCGACGCGTCGCTGGCCGGCAAGTCCGCCGAATTCCGCACGCACAACCACATTGTCCAGCTGCGCGTGGCGTGCATCCGCATCCTCAGCACGGCCATGGGCTTCGACGAGTACCAGCGCAACAAGGACAACAAACCCAGCGTCACCCGTGCCGCCATTGTCTCCATGTTCTTCAATCGACTCTATGCCGAGTCCGATCCGACGAGCGAGGCGGCCAACGAGGCACTGAAGCGTGTTTTCATGTACACCAGCAAGCTGCCCAAGGACCTGCTGCAACAGGGCCTGCGCCCCGTCCTCGCTAGTTTACAGGACGCCAAGCGCCTGACGCCCGGCAATCTCGAAAACCTGGCCCTGTTGTTGCGCTTACTGACAAACTACTTTAAGGTCGAGATTGGTTCGCGGCTGCTCGACCACGTGGGCAAACTGGCGCAGCCGGCCGAGATCCAGCGGGTGTCGTTTATGCTCTACGAGCAGAGCGTGCTGATGAACACCATTGTCGGCGTCTTTGGCATTTTCCCGTTGCTGCCCGACGCTGCCCGCATGTACAAGGAGCGCATCATCGACGCCGTGCTCGACCTCGAGGAGAAGCTGCGCCGCACCCACCATAGTCCGCTGCGTGCGCCCGTCTACAAATACCTCAACCGCTATCCCGACGAGTGCTGCAACCTGCTGACGAGCCGCATTGAAGAGCTCAAGTACGGCAGGTTCCTGGCACAGGCGCTGGACGACCCCGACAGCCAGGCCATCCGCGACTACTGCGACGCCCACGTCGACGAGCTCATCAAGAGCTGCAACACGATTGTCGAGGAGCAGAAGGAGACGCGCTTTGTGGCCGTCATCAACACGGTGCACATCCTGCACTCGCTGGCCGCCCACCACAGCACGGCCGTGCCCTGGATGGAGAAAAAGGAGAACCTGACGTGGCTCAAGGCGGTGGCCAAGACGCTCGAGGAGCGCCTGCGCGCCAACGCCTACCCGCCGGAGCTCCGCCTGGCCGCCAACCAGGCCGCCGAGCAGCTCATGGCGATCTTGACCAAGTACCTCGATCTCCACGTCGACGACACCGACATGCTGCTCAGCCTGGTCGAGTGCGTCACAGCCGAAGACCTGCGCGCGACGCCTGCGTTCCACGCGCACATCTACAAGAAGATTGTCTGCAACGAGTCGGTCGACTTTTGCCGTTCGCTCGTTCTGCGCTGCCTCGAGGTATACGCGGGCAAGAAGGCCAGCCACAAGACCAAGTCGTACCTGCTGCACAACATGGTCAACCCCATCGTCGCCATGGACGTTATGCGCCACTGGGACCGCCTGGGCGAGAAGGACAAGGACAAGGGCTCGCCGCTGTTCGCCGACAAGCAGATCCTCGAGTCCATCAACAGCAAGATCTGGCAGGCCAGCATGGTCGACAGCCAGGACGACGCCGCCGCGGCCGCGGTGGGCGGTGTCGACTACACGCGCATGGAGGTGATGCAGCTGACGGCGATGATTGTCAAGTACCACCACGTCATCCTGCAGGACCTGCGCAAGGACACCATCAAGTTTGGCTGGACCTACATTCGCAACGACGACGCGATGAACAAGAACGCTGCCTACGTGCTCCTCGGCTACTTCATTGCGCATTACGAGACGCCCGTCAAGATCGTGTCGCAGGTCTACTACTCGCTGCTCAAGACCAACCAGAGCGAGGGCCGCGCGCTCGTCAGCCAGGCGCTCGAGCTGATTGCGCCCGTCCTGCCCAAGCGCTTCAAGCCCAAAGGCGACGACCGCAACGCTGCCGTCTGGGCCGCCGCGCCGCGCCGCATCCTCGCCGAGGAGAGCCACAACGCCCAGCAGACGAGCAGCATCTTCCAGTTCCTCGTGCGCCACCCGGACCTCTTTTACGAGTTGCGCGATAAGTTTACCATGCTCATCATCCTGTCGCTGCAGCGCGTCGCCAGCCCCGCCAATGCGTCCAGCGAGAGCAAACGCCTCGCACTCAACCTCATGTGGCTCATCTGGCAGTGGGAGTACCGTCGTGTCGAGGGCAAGCCGATCGAAGAGGCGAACGGCGCCATCTCGGGATCGTCTGCTTCACCCTCGGCGGCGCGCTCCACGTCTGCGTCCCCGATGTCGCGCAAGCGCCGTCTCGAGGGGGACGAGCCGGGCGACCCGTCGTCGGGCGGCTCGCCGTCGGGCCAGGCGGCGGCTGCACCAACGGTCGCACCTGTGAAGGAGTACCAAGTGCCGCAGGTGGGCCGGCAAAAGATGCTGCGTTTCTTGGTCAAATTCATTGCACAGCTGAACGAGCGCTATGAGCTGCCGTCGTCCAAGCCCAAGGACCCGAGCGCCCTGGCCCTGCAGTCGCCGAATCCCTGGAGCGACATGTGCAAGAGGTCCATGGCGCTGCTGTACAATTTGCTGCATCCGCGCTACTGGGGCATCAACGACGTCGAGCTGCAGTCCAATGCGACGGACGTCGTCCTCGCCAGCGACAAGACGTCCCAGGCCCTGGCCAACGACCAGCCCGAGAAGGAGACCGAGGATAAGTTCATCAACAACATCATCAACATGCTGCAGGTCGTGCGCGTGATCCTCAACTTCCAGACCGACGAGTGGATCGTGGCAAACATTGAAGTGATCCAGAAGATCCTGGAGCGCAGTCTCAAGTCGGACAACCCCGAGGTCCAGGACTGCCTGCACACCGAGACGACCGACCACGACGACGGCCGCAAGCTCAAGTCGATCGTGGCGCGCGTGCTCGAGACGGTGCCCGAGGACGTGCAGATGGAGGACGCCGACGGCGAGGGCGAGTCGGAGACCCAGCAGCCGTCCGAGTTTGTCACGTTCCTGTCCAACATTGCCACGGAGACGCTCGGCGCCAACAACTACATGGCCGGCATCAACATCCTGTGGTCGCTCGCCGCGCGTCGCCCGACGGCCGTGGATGCACACATTCCGGCGATTCTCAAGGCGCTGCAGGCGAAGCTGGGCCGCGAGCATCTCGCCCACTACGCCTTCATGGCGACCATTGCCAACAATCCGCACCACGCGCGCGCGCAGCAGCAGCAGCAGGATCCGGCAGCGGCGGCGGCCGAGATGACGCCCTACAACCTGGAAATCCAGACGGGCCTCATCATCAAGGCGATCGACGTCGCCGCCAAGCGCATCGAGACGCTCGGCGACAACCGCCGGCCGTTCCTCAGCGTGCTGGCCAACCTGGTGGAAAAGTCGCAGCACATTGGCTTGTGCACCAAGATTCTCGATATGGTCGAGGGCTGGGTGTTCAAGTCGGAGGGCACATGGCCCACGCTCAAGGAAAAGACGGCGGTGCTGCACAAGATGCTGGGCTTTGAGCACCGACCCGACCTCACGATGCTGCAGAAGTTCCTCGACCTCGTCATCCGCATCTACGAGGACCCCAAGATTGCGCGCACGGAGATCACTGTGCGCCTGGAGCACGCGTTCCTCATCGGCACACGCGCCCAGGACGTCGACACGCGCAACCGCTTCCTCAACGTGTTCAGCCGCAGCCTGGCCAAGGCCGCCAGCGACCGCCTCATGTTTGTCATCACCGACCAGAACTGGGAGATGCTGGCAGACACCTTCTGGCTGTCGCAGGCATCGCACCTCCTCATGGGCGCCGTCGAGATGAACGCGACCGCGCAGCTGCACCCCGAAGACATCCGCGTGCAGACGCTGTCGCAGCTCTACGGCATCTACAGCAAGGACACGCGCGAGCCGGAGCTGATGATGGACGACAAGTACGAGGCGCTCATGGCGGGCGTGCGCAAGCACGTGGCCGGCCTGGCCGACGTCAAGGTGCGCGACCTGCTCGAGCCGCTGACGCAGCTGCAACACACGGACAACCAAACCGCCAACGAGCTGTGGGTGATGCTCTTCCCGCTCTTCTGGGGTGCGACGCTGCGCGAGGACCGGCCGGAGCTCGAGCGCGGGCTCGTCGGCCTGCTCACCAAGGACTACCACAACCGGCAGATGGACAAGCGGCCCAACGTGATCCAGGCGCTGCTGGCCGGCGCGTCGCGCGCCTGGCCCGACTGCAAGATCCCGCCGCACGTCATGAAGCACCTGGCCCGCATATTCGACGTGTGGTACGTGGCGCTGACGCAGCTGGAGCGGTCGGCCATCTTCCCCGAGGTCGCGTCGGCGCGCGTGCGCGAGAGCAACCTGGACGCGCTCGTGGAGCTGTACGCGGACCTCAAGGAGGAGGACCTGTTCTACGGCACGTGGCGGCGGCGCTGCCGCTTCCTCGAGACCAACTCGGGCCTGTCGTACGAGCAGAACGGCATGTGGGACAAGGCGCAGCGCATGTACGAGGCGGCGCAGGTCAAGGCCCGGACGAGCGTGGTGCCGTATTCGCAGGCCGAGTACATGCTGTGGGAAGACCACTGGGTGATTTGCGCGCAGAAGCTGCAGCAGTGGGACATTCTGCAGGACTTTGCCAAGCACGAGAATTTCCAGGACCTGCTGCTGGAGTGCGCGTGGCGCAACTTTGACATGTGGCAGGAACAGACGAGCCGCGACCAGCTGGACGGCCTGATCAAGGGTGTCATGGACGCGCCGACGCCGCGCCGCGCGTTCTTCCAGTCGTTTATGAGCCTGCTGCGGTTCCACCACAAGCAGGACGCGGCGCAGGAGCTCAACCGATCGACGGACGAGGCCATCCAACTGTCGATCCGTAAGTGGCACCAGCTGCCCCGCCGCCTGACCAACGCCCACATCCCGCTCATGCAGCATTTCCAGCTCATGGTGGAGATCCACGACGCGAGCATCATCAGCAACAGTCTTTCGACGACGGTCTACACGAATCTCGACGCCAAGTCGTCCGAGCTCAAGCTGCTGCTGGGATCGTGGCGCGACCGGCTGCCCAACATGTGGGACGACGTCCTCGCGTGGCAGGACCTGGTGACGTGGCGCCAGCACATCTTCAACCTCATCAACAACACGTACCTCAACCTGCTGCCGGCGCAGGGCGGTGGACAGCCGGCGGGCAGCTCGTCGTTTGCGTACCGCGGCTACCACGAGACGGCGTGGATCATCAACCGGTTCGCGCACGTCGCCCGCAAGCACGACCTGTCGGAGGTTTGCATCAACCAGCTGGGCCGCATCTACACGCTGCCCAACATCGAAATCCAGGAGGCGTTTTTGAAGCTGCGTGAGCAGGCCAAGTGCCACTTCCAGAACCCCGACGAGCTGACCAGCGGGCTCGACGTGATCAACAACACGAACCTCAACTACTTCAACGCGCCGCAAAAGGCCGAGTTCTACACGCTCAAGGGCATGTTCCTCGAGAAGCTGAGCCAGAAGGAGGACGCCAACGTGGCCTTTGGGACGGCGCTGCACTACGACATCACGACGCCCAAGGCGTGGGCCGAGTGGGGCTTCTTCAACGACCGCATCTTCCAGGCCGAGCCGACCAACTACACCGTGGCGCGCCAGGCGCTGACCTGCTACCTCCAGGCGTCTGCGAGCTACAAGAACGCCAAGGTGCGGAAGCTCATCTCGCGCATCCTGTGGCTGCTCAGCCTCGACGACGCGCAGGGCACGATTGCCAGTGGCTTTGACGACTTCAAGGGAGAGATGGCCACGTGGTACTGGATCACGTTCATCCCGCAGCTGCTCTCCGGCCTCAACCACAAGGAGGCGCCGCGGACGCACGAGATCCTGCTCGAGATTGCCCAGACCTACCCGCAGGCGCTGTACTTTGTGCTGCGCACCAGCCGCGAGGACATGCTGCAGATCAAGAAGAACCAGGAGGCGCGCGAGGCCAAGCTCGCACAGCAGCAAGCGGCCCAGGCAGCGGCGCTGGCCCAGGCCGCCAAGCAGGGCAGCGCGTCGCCGTCGCAGACCAAGACCGCCGCCGGTGCGGCTTCCGGCACGCCCGCACCTGCCTCGGCCACGCAGTCGCCCCAGCAGCAGAACAAGCAGACGCCGACGCCGACGCCGCAGCCGCAGCCGCAGCCGACCGCTGCCAAGACAGAGGGCGGTGCGTCCCGGCCGGGCACCGCCAACGGCGCCGCGGACGGCACCCCAGCGCCAGCGAACGGAGCCGCTGCTACGACACCCGCCGCGCCGGCCAGTGCATCGGGCACACCTGTACCGCCTGGGACCACCCCGGCACCTGTAGCCAGTGCAGCCACGCCAGCGTCTGCGTCCGGCACACCTGCACCAGCCATCAAGACCGAGGCGGGCACGGAAGGCGCTGCGGCTCCCGCCGCCAGTGCCGCTGGAAGCAACAAGGCCAACAGTGCGGCCACGACACCGGTGCCACCGCCTGTGCCTGCGCCTGCGCCTGCGCCTGCGTCGGCCACGCCGGCTGCGGCTGGTGCTGGTGCTGCGGCGGGCACGCCGGCACGCAACGGATCGGCCACACCGGCTCCTAATGGCGTCGTCGCCCAGCAAGCCAAGGCTGCGGGCGGCGACGGGTCTCCGGCGGCCGCCGCCGCTGCTGCCGCGGGCCGCGTGCAGGCCAACGGTGGCAAGCGCCACCCCTGGGACTACATGGAGGAGATCCTCGTGGTGCTCAAGTCGTCGTTCCCGCTGCTGGCACTGTCCATGGAGACGGTGATTGACCAGATCCAGAAGCACCTCAAGTGCCCGCCCGACGAAGACGCGTACCGACTCATTGTTGCTCTCCTTAACGACGCCATGTCCTACATCAGCCGGTCGCCTACGTCGTATAGTAAGGATGTGAAGCTGCCCACCGCGACTGAGTCGAACATCATGCGGTTCGCCGAAACCGTGCTTCCCACGCATATCAGGCCCATGTTTGAAGCCGAGTTCGTTGCGGTGCGCCCCACTATGTATGAGTACATCCAGAACCTGCGTCAATGGCGCAACAAGTTTGAAGACAAGCTAGACCGCCGCTCCAACAAGGTGCCGCTCGAGCAGCTGTCGCCGCACCTGTGCGAGTTCCGCTACCTCAAGATGGACGACATTGAGATTCCCGGCCAGTATCTGCAGCTCAAGGACAAGAACTCGGACTTTATCCGCATCGACCGATTCGTCCCGCAAGTCGAGCTGATCCGGACCGTCGGCGTCTCACACCGCCGCATCCGCATCCGCGGCCACGACGGCAGCATCCACCCGTTCGCAGTCCAGCAACCGACGGCCCGTAACTGCCGCCGTGAGGAGCGGGCCCTGCAACTGTTCCGCCAGCTCAACCAGCGTCTGAGCCACAAGAAGGAGAGCCGTCGCCGGGACCTGCAGTTCACGCTGCCGCTGGTCGTGCCGGTTGCGCAGCATATCCGACTGGTGCAAGACGACCCGTCGT